CAAATGATACTTTGAATATTACATGTTAATAACTTGATTGGAATTATAACCTTGAATTGACAGTTTGATACTTTGAAAATTTTGAGCCAGCCCTACCCCCAAGGGCTGTAGGTGCTAGTTTCAAATCCTTTTTAGTCTGAAATCTGTATGCTAGATATTGAGTAAGGTGGTTTTATTGTTTTTTGTCACTTTGAATAATATTTCTGTTCATGTTAAAAGCAAAATCAACTCTCTGTATAAATATATCAGGTGACCGTTAAGGCCCATGGGCCTCTTGTTGTTTGTTGAGTGCTAAAACTACTTTTTTCTTTGAGGAGTTCGAACAAGGGAGAGTACAAAATTAAATGTATCATAGGTATCACGATACAGTCTTGCCGCATTGATGCATCGTATCGCGACCCTTGCGATCCAATACATCGATGCATCAGAGAAATCGTTGCACCCCAAAAAAAGATTTGACAACAGGCAAAGCCTATTTAGTAATCTCCAAAAGTCATCTCCCTCGAAATATTTCTTAACAAGTACCCCACTAGTACTACTGAGACAACAAGTACGACTACCCCACCAGTACTACTGAGACAACAAGTACCCACAAGTCTTGATGGAAATCAGGCAGTTACTGAGAAAACTGTCACCTTTAGCTGCCAAATTTTGTGTGTAGTTGCAAATATTTCTTGGCATGGTTAGACACTAAATATATTTGCTTGGTTGTCCACAGGACTTGTTCAATAGATTATTGGTACTTGTTAGTCCTACGTCGATGTAGCTAGTCCAAAATAAGTTTCCTTAAAGAAATTTCTCGAGCATGAAACATCATATTAAATTGAATCTAAAAATAACACCTGTTATAAAGACATGGTCTAAAGGACCAGTTAGGCTAGGTGATTCACTAATTCTTGCTGAAATCTGTTGATCTTGGACTAGAGGACTAGTGTTAGTGGTGAACCCTGAGATCTGACCTAGTGTGCATGCTGATGGCAGAGAGTTGCACTGAAGTAATGTCTTGTGTCCTGCTTTATACAGAGTTGTGGTCCTTAGTTCATATTTAATTCATTCCAGAGGTTGGGTACTATGGATTGCTTGCAGTATTTTGAAATGTTCAATGGTCCATATACAAATTTCATACTATAGAGTATATTGCCCTATACAATTTCTGAAAATGCTTTAAGGTGCATTACATAACTACACGTGTATATATTATAATGTTCAACTAATGTAGTAATGAGTTATGAAGTTCAGAAGTAATATTCGGCACAAATGATGTTATTGACAAGAACAAAAACTGAAGTTTGATGCTTTAAGACTAAAAAAAATCAGATTTGTTGTAGCTATTAGTCTTTTATGTCGTTAAGTTCTTGAGTTCATAGGTTTCTGACTATTACAGGTTCTGGAGGAGATTTGCCAGAAGAATGCTTGGGGCACCCCAACTTATCAACTACATTCTGCAATGAATGCAGACATGCAGCTGTTTTTATATAAGGTTAAGTGATTACCATACACATCTTATAATTATTGTCCTGAGAGCCCAGTTGTTCAAACTCTTGTTTGTTAGACTAACATTTTCAGATTTAGTTTGATTTCTGTTATAAATTTTAGTTACTGGTCACTTGATTTTGAACATTTCAAAATGAATGTTTTGGACCTTTAAGCCAGCAGCTTTTCTTAAAATTTCAATAGTTTTAAAACTACAATACAAAAGTTTCCACTTAGTTTTCTAGCTGATCATGTTTTGAAAACCTGGGCTCATATGTGTTATTATAGTATACATTGTATATAGTAGTACAAGTAGGCTAGAATTGCTTGTTTTCCCATAAAAGCTTCAAGAAATGTTAACTTGCATGCACATTTGTCCACAAGTTTTGGAACTTTGACAAGAAACAAGAAGGTGCTATTTCAATTTAAACAATGCATTTTCTAGTGAAATGTTTCTTCTTCTTTTTTCTTCTGTTTTTTTTGCATGCTTTACTATTCTGTTTTGCCAATATTTTGCTTGAAATGTACCCCTTGGGCCTTTTAGTTTTCTGGTTTGTTTGTGGAAACCTAGCTTTTTTCTTTACCTTCATGTATTTGCAACAAAATTTTGAAATTGAAGAAAACAATAACAATCACAAAATAGTTAAAAAAACTGACCCCTAACTCAATTGTGAAAGCATTGCAATAGCATTTACCCATATAGCAATATCATAGTATTTCAGGAGTAAAATAATGGCCCAATACTCATCCTAATGTTTATACAGTTGAATTTAGTTACTGGTAATATTTAGTTATAAGTAAATAAAAGTATAAATTGTGATACATGATTGCTGTCAGTATTTTTCGTTTAAACAATTTTGTTTCAAGTGGTGCATCTATATCACAGATAGAGATTAGTCCCCGACTTGTTGAGATAAGAGGATTTACCTAGTAGCTGAAGAGACCTGTCAGGGAAGACTACCTGTCACACAAAGAATTGGGTTATCAGTAGAGATCAGAGGTCAGCAGTGTGATGCTGTGCTAAACCCTGTCCCAGCAGATTAAACTCTAACCTTGAAACAAGATACTTGGTTGTTTGCTGACGCTTCTAAATGATCACAAGTTATCTTGTGAAACTTTGTTATGTTCTATATAAGAATAATTTTACATAATTTAAATAAGTTTATTTTGAGTAAAGATAACTTAGCACAGGCTTTTTTAGTCAGGGTTTCAAATCTCCCTGTCCAAAACGTTGATATTATATCTAATTATAAAAAACTGCCTTTAAAACTGATATACAATAGTATGGTAATAAAGTGGAAAATTGCCTGTTAAAGTCCCTTTCAGAAAACTGCCTGTCAAAAAGACAGGTGGACAGTTGGCTGGCAATAGCCTGGCAATAGCCTGCATTAGCATTTACTCTCTGGACAGGGACACCTTACTCAGGTTAAAAATTAGGTAGTCTTGACTGAAAGTTATTTAAAGTGCAGTAGCTTCTAAAACGAAAACAGTAACAATTGTCTTTGCATGGTGTCCAACCATTTGACAAATCTGCAAAAGTAAGAACTAAGATTCATGTGTATATATTGGGGATAAGAAATAGCTTATTACAAAAAATACATTCCAAAAATATATTGCAAATTTTACATCTGCAAATATATTTTGATGTTGATAAAAAATTTAATCAACATCTGAAGGGCATGTCCATATATAACGCAACTTATTTTATAAAGGGTGTTGTATCTGTACTTGCCCTTGAGATTGTTCTGTTTAGACTACTTTGCAGTGAAGTATTTTGCTATATCATATTGTAGGGGAGAGAAACTGGGACACTTTATCTTGTAAGATCAACACGGGTTGCCTTTTACCTGTTTTACACATCTGGAATGTGTGGGCTTGATATCAGGACTCACCTGTCAATACTCGACCACATATTGGCTGTTATCTGTTCGTCACCAGCCCCAGTATTCACCGGCATGCACCTACATGTGTCCGCATGGATAAGCTGGTTTCTAGTCTAGCTCATTTTCCTAGCACATTTCCTAATGGTGTTTGATGCACATCAGAAGTTCATTTAAATAGATAATACAAATCTGTCTAGTGAAAAATAGGTCTAGGTCCCTTATGCATAGATGCAAATGGTTTCAAAGTTGAGGTTTTGAGAGAAAAAAGTAAAATCCTATGATGAGTTATGATGGCATCTTGTATCTAATAAGTGATAAAGCTTGGTTGTTCTAAAAATTAACCTCAAATATTAGATACACTGATGTTGTTTAATTTTATTTTAGCTACCAGTATAAGTATCCATATACATGTACAAGTCTGGTATTGGAAAATGGTATCAAATATTTTACTGTGTGTATTTCATTGAATTAATGAAAAACATTACAATGAAAAACTTGCATAAATCAAGTACAGGGGTTAGCAGGTGTGAAGTAGAGGTGATATGAAAATAACCAGGCATGAATTTCTCTTCTTTCCGCAACTAGGAAATGCTTTTGTTTCAATTTTCAATGATTTGGTATTTTGAAGTGATTGGCATGCTCGGTAAATTAAAACAGTTTCCTCTTCAATGTAACATTCTGAATTTGTTTTGATGAAATTTTAATGAAAAAATAATTTACAATGTATGTGAAGTAGGTGAACAATTTTCAATAACTAACTCATACTATCTTTATTGTTTGCCTGGCCTTAAGGGCCTTGTGAATTTATATCATGGCATGGTGTCTGTCGTCAACTCTCCCTTTAAATAACTAGCTCAGAACAACTAAATGGATTTTATTAAAATTTATTTGGAACATCTCAAATGCAAGGGAGTTAAAGAATCAATGCTGTATATATATACGAAGGGTGTGGAATTTTGTTATTGTTATTCTGTGTCATTCTGAAAAAACCTTAAGATGGTTATCAAGGTCTCAAGTGGAACCATTTCATCTTCTTGTCTGGTTCAATAACAAAAGACATAGCCGAGAAATACAGGCGCAATGGGCCTCTTGTTAATTGAAGTATCGATTTGCACAAAATACAAAAACAAATGTGTTGATATTAAAGTTAATGATTTATCTATTTCATTAGGTTACCATTCCAGCCATCGGAACGACTCCGTTTCAACCCTCCAAACTCTGCAGAAATGTGGATGAAGCCAAGAATTTTGCTGCCGAGTTTGTCATGTCTCAGCTAGGAATGCCTTTTGAAGGTTTGTGTCTGTTCAAAAAGTAATGAGTTTGATCAAAGTTCACAGATCAGTAGGCTTGGCTTGTAGGTCCATATTATTAATCACAATGACCCCCTAAGTATATAGGATCTGTAATCTACATATGATAGTAGTTAATACTCAAGTTTGTGTTGGTTTAACTTCTGTCAGATTTTATTGCTTTAGTTTGCCAAGGTTTTACATAGTGAATGCTGCTAGTCTTTGTGTATTTTCGTAGCTCTGAAAATGTGAAACAGTTAATTTTAGAAGGTATGAAATATTATAAAATTGCTCATAGTAAGCGTTGTTAAAAGATACATTTTTAAAAGATATAATTGGATAACAAGATCTCCAACTAAAATTTGATTAATTAACAGAAAAAAAACATTCAGACTGAACAAACACAATAAAAGAAAAAAATATGTATACACAATGTGTTTTCTAATCTGGAATGAAAATGATACAGATATATGTTGGAGATATTGTGCTTTATACATTATAACACTATTTATATATCTTGGTCATTTTAATTCATTCCTCCTCATCTCATAACTCATTTCATCTGATGCGGTGTGATGCAAGCTTCAGCTTTGTGTATTTCTAGATTGTATAGATTCATGGGAAATTGTACCAAATTTGTTTGAAAATATTTTTCAACAATCATGTTTATTTTTCCAAAATAACTGAAAAGCTTGTCATTGTAAGAATTTTTTATTTCTTGACTCGGAACATGACAACATTTTTTGTGTACATTATAACAGTAAAAATTCATGTTTTATTACTGGCTTAATATAATGTTTGAAAAACATACTATCATGCTATCAAAATTTTCATTGGTGTCATTTAATTAATTCAGGTAATTTCATCAGTGATTTATGATGGTCTTTTAGATAGGCGACCTAATGTTTTGCTGTATTTTCAAATAACATTGGTGTGTACTGGTTATAGGTTTAGTTTCTAGTGCATTTGCTTCATCAGAAACCAATTGACTTCTTTTGTTTTACTGAAAATGGGAAAACAAGATCTCTTGATATGATTTCTCAAGTTTGTGCATGTTTTTGCAGAGTTCGAAGCAGACAAGTATTAAGAATAACTGCTGGAAGGTTAGAAGGGTCAATCTTATATCGGCACATGTTATTTAAGTAATAAATCTTCATGACCTCAATGTTTGACTTGGCATGCTCAATCGATTTGATAAAAGATTTACAGTATTAAATCATTACCTGAACCAGGAAGAACTAGCCGAACAAAATGTCTTTTTGAGAACAGGTGGAGAACAGGTAGTCATAACCAACCCTAGTTTGTGAGACTAATACTTCTATATTTGACCTATCAGTATCATATTGTGTAAATGAAGAGTTTCATGCTTGTTGTAAATAGGCAAAAGATCATCTTTTGAAAAAATAGATAACTTTCTTTTACCAAAGTATAATATAGCGCAAAATGTCTCTGAGTAATCCTACATTTCTTTACTTTTAAGTCAAACTTTATTTATCAATAAAATTAAGATAAAAAAAGTAGAATTGTCTCTGATTAAACATTATTTATCTTGACACTTCAAATTAATTTGATGAACAATATGACATCTACTTGATTTATGGTGAACTTTGATAAAATGTAACAAATTGTATACTTAAATAATCATATCAGGTATTCTTTCTGAAAAATGTCTTTGTTCTGGCAAGATGTTTTGCAAAAAAATGAGTTTTTTCATTCATATTTCAAAGTTTCTGAGATTTTGTCAGAAATATTCAATATCATTTTACATTTTAATATTGGAGCTGTCATCATTTTTTTCTAAAAAAGTTGCATTAAAACAATGAATTCCACAAGTTGATCTGGTTCACTTTGATATTATTGGGAATTATATTTGAAAAAAATCAAAGTAATGAAAATGCTGGGGATGGGATAACCCCTTCATCCGAATCCATCCAAAAGCATGCACAAGTTTGATTTCACCTATACTGTGTGTGCTGCTGTACTAGCTCTCTGTCACAACTCCCATGCAGGTTCTGAGGTTGCCAATCTCGCCCCCAACCTGTATCAGGGACGACCCATTGGACCTTCTTATCCCCTGACTAATGGTGCGTCAGCTATCACTTATGCCTCCTCCATGCCAGTAGTGACCAGTGCTCCACCCTCATATGTGGTAGCTCACGGAAAGATGCCACCTCCACCACTACCAACACAGAGTAAGACTTATCAGCTGCATGCCTGTACAGTGGAACCTTGTTATTACCTATATACCTCTCAGTCAGAACTCTTTTTTCCTCTTGTGCAATAACGTAATATTGATATGTATACATAATATACATAAAGGTATCGTTTTAAATTGTCACATTGTTAGCATCATTTGAACGAGCATCTGCCAGATAGCTGTTTCCTTTTTTTATGCTTTTTTTTGTCATCGATAGGCTATTTGCTAGGACTCGCCTGGTAACTCTGAAGATATCAGAGATTATACCATTTGAAGTATAGAATCAGCATAATAGAATTGTTGTGATAACAGTCCTAAATTAACGATGAGACTATAGGGGGACTATAGATATTATTACATCAAATCAATTTGTCTTGCATCTTCGTTTTAAGGCCATAATTTGTAATTTACTCAGTTTTGTTTCATGAAACGTCATAGACACATGTGTTAAGTCTGGACAATTAATCTGTTGTGTACCATTATCAGGACTGTGGTTAAGGTGATGGCAGGGTGATGTGTTGTGTATAAAGCTTGGGTCCAAATACCTAAGGTCAAGGTCACATTGGGTTCAAATACCTCAGGTCAAGGTCACAACAAAACAGTCAAAAGTCACAGTATTGTATTAATAACTGTTTTCATAGATGGCCGCATCACAACTGTACAATGTGTCACATTTAACTCTGGAGTCCAATTAATCCAAACTTGCCAAGGTCATGGCCATAGCAAGATGTCAACTGGTCAAATGATACATTTTGTAATGCCTGATTGTTAGGTCAATATCTTAGGAACAGTTCAGTCAATTTTCTGTGAAACTTGTAGATAGATGTATCATGATTAGACAGTTTATCATGGGATGGGATATGTATTGCCTCGTATGCTTGGTTAAAATTAACAAAACACTTGGGGAAAAATAGTTCAATAAGGAAAACAGCATTGCAGAATGATGGTTCATATCAAAGCTGTTGAAAAGATTTTCAATATTAAACATTTGAAAATAGAGTTTTTGGCTTATTGAGTACGTATATGAATAGCAAGGTTCTACAGTACTTCTATTTTTTTATTTGCTTCTTCATAACTGCCTCAGTCCAGAGAACAGTGTTCCAGTTTTATAAGTATATTGGAACCACATTAATTTAATTATTGAGTGAAATCATTCAAAGTATGTGGTTCGTTTATCATTGAAATTTGGAATTTGGTTTTCAAATTAAAATTTAATGATCAAAATTCAATATTTACTAAAACAAAACAAATGGGGAATGAAATTGCCTCGAACAGTTGCAGTAATTCTGGAATGTAAAACTCTGGACTGAAAAAATCATTCATATGCTACATGTACATAAACACCTTCATTTATAATCCGGACATTTCAAACTATTTTGCTTTAGTTGTGCATAGAATATGTATTATGTAGAGATTCAGCTTTATTTAACATTTGAAGCTTAGAAAGACAGTTAAAAGAAAATCATGAAGAAATGTTCCTTGGTTACAAACACGTGCATCTTTTGAACGCGAAAGAATTGGAGTCTTGAGTAGTACTCCTTAAAGTTATTTTCTTCAAAAACGTTCTATTAATCTGTTGAAAGGTGTGGTAATTACACAAAATTTTACAAGAAATCTTTATAATGTTCGAAGAACAATGCATGAGAGAAAAAAAATGTAATGGTGTCAGGCTAACAAGTTCATTCCTGTAAGTTGCAGCTTTATGGTGCTGTTTCTACAAAGTTTGAAACAAAAACCACATTATTTTATTTGTTAAAAAAAAACCCACTTTATTATGATTATGAGTATTTTAAAGGAAACACCCAATTTTTGATGTATGTTTAATTTTCATTCACAGTTCCTTATGACTTTGGAGCTTCCCCATATGCAACCATGTGAACAGATGAGATCTTTGTAGGAAGGAACTAAAGGACATGATCAGCAGTGATATTTATGTGTTTTTTTCTGTTATATAATGTTACTATTTATATATACATGTTTTTGTGTTTATTATACACACATGCTTAATATGATGGACTTAAGTTTACTCAGTTTACAACGAGAACTATTTACTACCATGTTAAATACTGGTATGTTTCCTCTACACCTTACAATGGTGTACTGATCACCCTGTTTGTTACGGTCATATCAGCTGTGGCGTACCAGTCAAGTGTCCTTCCCCTAAAGGTTATTGGACATGACTACCTGAAAAGTCATTTCTTGATGACTTTTACAAACTACATTTGTTTTAGATACCACTGTTCCCACAAATACCTTGAATAACTTAACTTTTAAGTCAGCTGTGGAAATGTTTTGGTTACATATATCCAAACATGAACCACAAAAACAATATGGGAGCAATTTGTAAGATGGAGAGATTCTTCCCATTAATGGTAAGAATAAATGGGTTGTGGTAATTGAGGTATGTCTTACAGCTTTTCACTCCTAAGGACTTCACAGTCATCCTATGGCCCAGATTAAATTCGGGATTATGGAGTGTAAGTTCCGAGACATTTCCATGACATATGGTGCTCAATGTTGAACAGTTTATTTTTCTTTTTATATTTGCTGTTTTATACAGACACAAGTGAGAAAGGATTTTTTTTTGGTTTTGTTGTTGGGACTACTATGAGAGGCAAAAATCAAATTTGCATGCAAGCAATTGAACTGTGTCGGCCGAAAGTTGTTCTTTTGAACATTTATTTAGTGATTTAACATTGTTTTTGAGTCTTTTTTTTTTAAGACAGGTAGAAGTTTTACACTCCTAATGAAAACCTTAATTGACAGACATATCACACATTAACTCATTCAACCCTGAAGAAATTTCATGATTTGAACTCTTCCAATTCAAAGTTGGAATAGTTCATTATGAAATTTCAGGGGTGAATAAGTTAATGCTACATTAGAGTGGTGTTATTTACCACATGAAAAGTAAATCGGCATTGTAATTGAAGTCGATTTTCATCAATATCATTGTAGATTAACCAAATTTGTGTGTGCCAAAGCAGAGGAATTTCTAATATTCAACTATAATATTGTCATTGGCATATCAAAAGATAATGTGGGAGAATTTCAATAAAATTGTCCTGCTTATATATATATACACTTGAGGGGATTTTAAGCTATTTATCAGCAATCTTATTAGAAGTTTATTTATTTAACAAGAATTGCAATTTATACTAGTACAAAATGATATTTTGACTTGTTAAATTGTTTATAAGAAAATGTTAAGTGTGGTTATTCACAAGCTATGAACTCTGACCCCAGTTATCTGAAAAGTAGATTTCCAGACACTGATATTAAGCAATAATTCTTGTTTCTCTAGGCACAAAATATTTTTTCAGAAAGTTTCATTTTAATTAGGATTTTTTCCTGATCCAGCTTCTCAGAAATCAAGGTGTTTTTAACAAATTAGGTTCCACTTAAAATGAAAACTACAAATGTACATGTTTTTCAGTACAGTAGTGTATCTTATCAAAACAATATTTTTGTTACATTTCTTGCCATAAACTATCTGGTCAATTTATACATGTAGATAAGAACTGTTTTTCTCTTTGAAAGTTGCATAATAAATGTTGCCATTTGCCGTTTTCTGTATGAAAAAACAAAACAACGATGAAAGTTAAAAAGTTCATCAATAATTTTAGATAAATGAGAATGATGCCCAATGATGTACAATAGATTTTTGTCCAGAAGGATATGTTAGAAATGTATCTTGACATCCAGTTATGACCAATTAATAGTAAATGTGTAGAAAAATTGTTTGTAAAAATAATATTTAGTTTTGTTGCAATCAGCTTGAAGCAACCAATTTTAATATGGATTGTAAATGATCAGTGAACCGAAAAAATCAAAAGCATGAATAGTCAATTGAAATTGTTAGTACTTAAAGAATTACATTAGAAAATCTGAATTTAGAAATAATGGACAAATCATCTCTGAAGTAATCACACATCAATTTCAATCAGGAGTGTTTGCTAATTTATGAAAGTTGTTGATTATGCTGTTAAAATTGCATGCTTGATAAGTTTAATAAATAAATGTTGAAAAGAATTGCACTTAATTTCAAAATGCATATCTCTTGCCATGTGAAGAATGAAAGGAAAAATCTGGTTGGCAAGTAGCCGCACGTTAACAATTTTAAACCAATGTTTGAACATTTGTTTTCTAGTCTGCCAGAAAAGAATACATGTATACTGTAAACAATATTCCCTTTTGAAATTGAGGGAAGGGAAACATAGTGCTAAAATAGCAACAACTTTTTTTTCTGGCACAACTTGAATTCATTTAAATATGTGGATATGATTTGGTGGTGGGTTTGATAATTTATCTTATTTCTAAATATAGCTTGATCATACAATTTTATCAGTAGTTGCTAGTGCTTAGTTTCAATTTCCTTGTTATTTTTGTTTATTTTTGCATTCTGTTTGTCATTTCGATTCAGTTTGCATATATTAATTGACTACATTTTAAGCAGAATTTCTTTTGAGTACATAATATATAATATTTAGCTGTATTTGATTTTTAATTTTTCATTTTAAATATTGCATTGAGCTCAATTGTGGTGGATGGTATCAGGAGGCATTAATTATTTTTGAAACAGTGTGGATTACCGCCTTACCAAAAGTAATTAAGTTTAAAATATTACAAATTTTAAAGTTACATGTAGTTGGTATTAATACTTAAGACTGATTAACTATAGTTATAAACCAATGTGCAATTTGCTGAACAACTGAAACAAAAAGTTTTCAGTGGTGGCGATATTGGATCCAATTGTATACCATAAAATGAGATGTTCCTTAGCCTAGGAACCAGTTTGTTCTGGTGAAAGTCACATTCCATTTAGCAGATTGCCTGTTTCTCATTGGTGCAACTGGACCCTTCCACTAAATGGAATACACTGTTGAATTCTCTCCTGGTACTTGATATCACAACTACATATTTAATGTAGCATCATACAAAGTGTTTTATTGTTTTTAGTGATTTATTGTAGGGTATGCTAGTTTGATTTATTTCCATTTTAATCAAGAATTTGATGTTATGACTGCTTGTTGATTGTAATTTTGGTTAAGTATAGCTGATCGTTGTGATCTAGTCTTATAATGTAAGTTTAAAGCCGGTCCTTTTATTTTGTTTTTAACCCATCCTTGCAACATTTTTCAACATATCTTTGTGATGTTGTTATTGTTAGCATATGCTTGCGATGTTGTTCCAGACAGATACTTGTGATCTTGATACTGTATTGTCATATCAGTACTTTGTCAGAGAAGTGCACATACATTCATGATTTCATACCTTTATTGTTTATCATCAAGTTCGTGTACAACTAGTCTTACCTGTGTTTTTGTTTCATTTACACAATATTTAATATTGCACTCTTGTTACTGCTTTTATGTTTTTTTAACCATTTACTGCAAATAATGGGTCGATGCAGCAACTGTGTATGTACTGTTATACAAGTTTATATTTATTTCTCTCAGGAGTTTACTTTCTCCCTTTTAATACTTGTGAACCCACTCGGTGGTAATGGCAACACTTGTACTCTGTGATATTTTGTGCACCTGTTGTGTGCAGAGCAACTACTTTTGCCATTTTTATCATTGATAAGAAAAGAATTGAAAAATTTTGGTACCAAGTGATCCTGCCTATGTTAATTACGCGTGATTTGACCCTTTGCAGTAAATCCATAATATATGTGTGCCATTGGTAGGGGACGTAGTCCCTTTTTTACGATTGGTTAGAAAATCACGGAAAGAAATTATTTGTGAGATTGTGAGGAATAAGGAAAGAAATTAAAGAGTGATCTTGTTGAGATTTAAGTAATGGAATCAAAATGTATCCATAAATTAGTATGAAAAAGGTTAGGATATATTGAAATTATAGAGGTAGCCCTGCAGCAGTTTTTTTTTTCGTATCAAATACGTGGTTTACTGTATATGCTTCTGTGGTCTTCCCAATCTATAGTTTCTTACTATTATTACACAGAAGGAGCACACTTGTGGTTTGGTTGCTGTGATCACTAAGGGCACACACAGTCAATACTACTGTGTGCAGTCTAGCTCGAACTTCAGGCCACTCACTCTACAAGAATTCTAGTTCAATTCCAAGTGGTGGCAGAAAAAGAGTGATTTGTTCTCAAACAGTTAGCTGTTATCCCCTTGGGATTTACTCTGCCAAAAAAAGCCACCCACATTTGTTCCACAGTGGGGTCTTCAGAAAACTCCTTCCCCACCGATGTTTGTTATTTACAATCACATTACTTTAAATCGTTATCATTATGCGTATTTCAATTGATACAAGAAAAGTGCCTTTATACATCATTCATCGTGGATACATTTTGATTCCATTTGATAGGTTGTGTTATAGTATTGCTGTTCTCATTGATCTAGTGCCTTAGGTTAAGATCTATATAGCCCTTTATAGAAGTCGAGGGTTGTATAAGTTACAGGTAGCGTAGTTATCATGTACGTAATGGCAACAGCTTGACATAATGGAACCTTTCTGGTGTGCTGATTTGACATACTTCATCATCAACATGTGAAAACTGTTCAAACAAATAATTTATTTGTAGATGCATCATCTTCATACGATAATGAACTAAGCAAAGATTTTACAAAATGTTGCAGGTCCAGTTATAACTGAGTTATGATGTTGAGATTTCATTGGATCACAGTTTCTTATAAATTTGTTAATTATATTTAAAATTATACTTATTTCCTTGATAAAGTTAAATGTGCATGAATTATAAGTAAGCTAGAGTTTTGGGCATAAACAATAATTTGCAGACAGACGTATTCTTGAAACTAGAAAAAACATTGAAACATCAGTAAATAAAACAATTGTTCTTTAATGAACAGTATTAATCAGTTGATGTTATAAAGTGTGTCAAAAAAGAGAAATTGCACTTTTGATAATGATATCCATCAAAATTTTATACAAGTTGATTGTTACAACTGGCCTTCTGAAGGATGTGATTTGAAACCAATCCTATTTAGTCCCATTTACATATACTATTCAATAACATTCCAAGTGACAATCAGAGCTTTATCCTAATAAAGTTATATAATCATTTTGAAATATATTTTGTTATCTATTGAACAACTCTGCTGCATTGACCTGGGTATTTTACTTACCAGGCACCGGAGACTTTAGTATGCCATAACTCCTGGTGGGGCAGATATATTTTGTTCACCCACACCCACTACAGGATTCCTCACTCCTGACAAACTGATGGTATTACAAGCCTACTGGAGAGTTTGTAAACATTTATAATTACCCACTAGTGGGCAATCTCCTGGGCATGGTTTCATTTACCAGTCTTTTAATTTTGACATCATGTAACAATGCTAGCAGCTTTCAATGTGATATCATAATGAAAAGCAACCATTTCTCAGGTCGGAAACAGGAATCTTGTATATTTTAGAGAAAAGTGAACATTATGGGAGAATTAAGAGAACTGACAGGTCAACAAGGGCCCTGCCATGTACCTGAATACCCCCATGGTTTATTTGGAGTAACACTGACCTTGACCTGAGAAACTCTCTATATTAAATGCATAACAAGAGGCCCAGAGGGCCTGTATCGCTTACCGGGAAATGTTAGCAAAGTGGAAGTTATAATAGCCAGATGTTGCTGGTAGTGTATTCGTGGTTAGTCAGGGGTTATATTTATATGCAATTGGACAAAATACTGTCATTCCGAAGAATTTGCTAGGTTTCCCCTATAGGGCTTTGCCTCCCCATTGGTGGGCCAGACGCATCGTTGATACAAAATTATGTCCCCTTCACCTAAGGATGCTTTAGACCAAATATGGACATACTCCTGTCATTCTTTCAGAAGAAGGATATTAAAGCTATTCCTCTATATCCCTTATTGGGCCAGCCACTCTGCCCCAAGGGGGGTAAGACCCACCGTTTATACAACATTGGTTTCCCTTCACCGAAGGGTGGTTCATTCAAAATTCCTACAGAGGAAGAAGGATTTTGAAGAATTTGCTTTGTTTCCCCTATAGGGCTCAGGTCCCAGGTGGTTCAAGCCCACCATTTATACAAAATTGATTTCCCTTCCAAATAGGATGCTACTGTTCAAATTTGGTCAAAATACCTTCATCCCAACGGAAGAAGAAGGATATTAAAGCTCATCCTCTATATCCCTTATTGGATCCCGCCTCTCTGCCCCCAGGGGGGTCAGACCCATCATTCACACAAAAGTGGTTGCCCTTCACCAAAGGGTGATTCATACCAAATTTAGACAAAATCCTGTCATTCCTACAGAAAAAGACGGATTTTTAAGATTTTGCTATGTTTCCCCTATTCGGCCCCGTTCTTCTGCCCCAAGGGGGGCCACACTCGCTCTTTATACAAAATTGAGTGCCCTTGGCCCAAGGATACTAGAGATTAAATTAGAATTTAATCCTTATGGTAGAAGAACGTTTTTAAAGGTTTTACCTCTATTTCCTTTGTTGGGCCCAACCCCTCTGCCCCAAGGGATGCCACACCCACCATTTATGCAAAATTGAGTCCCCTTGGCCAAAGGATCATCATGCTCCAGGCTAAATTAGAATAAAATCCCTCAATCGCTACTGTAGAAGAAGGATTTTAAAGGTTTTACCTCTATTTCCCCTATTCAGCCCGACCCCTATGCCCCAAGGGGGCCACACCCACCGTTTATACAAAAATGAGTCCCCTTGGTCTAATGATGCTCCAGACCAAATTTAGTCAAAATCCACAAGGCCATTTCTAAACTTCGTGCAGGTGAGCTAAAAAAAACTGTCGTTTGTATTCAGAGATAAGGACCATACTCCTCATGGTCTATTATTAGAAACTGTACAGTGACCTTGACCTTGGAAACTTTTTGAATCCTTATTACACATCTACATACATCGCAGTGTACCACCATACCAAATTTCAGTCAATTGGATTCCAATATAATCTCTGGAAATGAAAGTATGGACAGACAAACGACGATTACTTTAGGGCACCTACATCCCTGTATCCCCTGTATCGATATGGTATGTGGAGGGGTTCCTGCAATATTTTGTTGACCTCTAAAATTGAATCGGGTTTATAACTCGTTCCCATATACTATGGTATAAATATAATTAATTTTTGGGGGTTTGCGAGATATCTTGTACACAAGCCTTTTACTTCAAAAGTGGTAGTGTGATCTGTGACGGTGACCTTTGACCCTTACCAATGACCACCAAGATATAATCATGTGTTGAACATCATATTAACATACCGGGTACTATGGTTTGAATATGAAACTAGGCAAAGTATTGCAAGGCAATCCATAGTCCCACACTGGTAATGATTTCTATATTTAACAAACAGTACACTTATATCAGGAAGCATAGGTCATAGTGACCTACTTCTTGCACTCCATCATCCCAAGATGTCCTTGTACACCAAATGTGGTTACTCCAGGTAAAATAGCATGCCCCGGGCAAACTTTTTCAAAAGGTCAAAGGTCAAATGATACATCACAGTGACCCAATTCTTGCAATCTGCCATTCCAAGATGTCCTTGTACACCAAATCTGGTTACTCCAGGTGAAATAGTATAGAAGATATGTCCCAGACAAACTTCTCGAACAGAAGGATGGACGGACGGAGTGCAAACCTATAGTCCACCCCCCATATTGGTGGGGGACCCAATAAATGTGTTCAGGGGTTCATGAGATCTTGTACACGGATTTATTTACTAGTGATGGAAAAATCGCTTTAGGTGGAGATGTGCTTATAAGGTTCATGGACAGACGGATGGATGTATGTATGTGCAGGATAATTCCTATAGACCCCCACCTAGGATTTTTAAGTTGTTCTNAACGTCAAAAATGATAAGGTGGGTTAAAAGACATCAGAGTCTATAAAATAGACCGATGTCTTTCAAATAGTTAAATAATGCCTTCGAATCCACGGAACTGAAAAGTGTTTTCATATCCGGGACTCGGAAGTAGTTATCACGAATGAGTTTAAAATCGGAACATTCTATTCTGTATTAAGTCCTGCCACCAATTGGGGTGGGGAAGGGGGAGCAGGCACTACCTCTGTTTATACAATTTTAAGTCCACTTCAGCCAACAATGCCGATAAAATTTGGTTGCAATCCTTGCAATCCCTAAATCCAAACGGAAGGAGTAGGATTTTCAACATCTACTTCTTATTCCCCTTCTGGAAGCTGCCCTCACCTTTGGTGCATCACATCCTCCATTTAAACCACATTCAGTCCCTTTGGCCCAACAATACTCCAAACCAAATTTAGTCAAAATCCACTTTACCATTCTTGACTACAGTAATAATGTTTTATAGGAAGAGTTGACAGTCAGATGCTGTACCACCATAAGGTGCCAACATGTCCTTTTGGACCAGTTGAGCTATACAAAAAACTTAAATTTCTCTTGTCTTTTATAAACATTGTTTTATTCTGTTGATGATTCACAAAATTAAACTTCTCAACCAATCCTCACAAAGCGATTATGTTCTTTGCTACATAATTGCACCACATATATTGCACTTTCATATTCAACAATTCACTCACAAATCTTAGAAAACCATCATACCATACACACGCTCATGCCAAGAAACGTTAATGATATAATAATGATGAAATACAAAACGGTGATACAAAAAACAAACAATACAAACATGTACGGTGTAGGGGAACAAATATTAGCCACATTCATACCGTGGTGGTGCTACTGGTACCACAGTCATTTACACCAATGAACCATAATTACTGTATATCATAGAGCTCGCTTCCTTTATCCTGTTTTCATTTGTTCAAAAGCCTCACAACTTCAATACAGTTACAATTACATTATGTTTCTATGTGACGTTTCGATGACTAGTACAGTGTGTACTCGGTCACCTTCATCAGACAAATGAGCAGTGAAGCGCATGATTTAGAACTGTCCCATCTGGATACGCTGCAGAACGACGGCGTAACCAGATGAGCCCGTTCTAAATCGAGATGAGGGGCTCATAGACTCTCACACATCTATGACTAAATATTAAACAAAGCGTAGCCTACTCGAGCCATTTCTGTACATATATAACAACTAATTGTACACACGCTGACAGCGTAGCCGAATTGATATCGATTTGCATGGACTACTCGTACATATTTCACACCTTTGTGTACAAAGGCTTCACTGGGCATTTGTCTGATGAAGGGGTAAGAGTACATACCTTACTAGTCATCAAAACGTCACATAGTAACACTTTTTGGTTGTGCTACATGAATCTTTTCACAATCCATACTTACCAACCTGAAGAAAATGTTTAGAAACATTATGTTTCCTTATCTACAAACGGATACGACTCGGCGGGGAAGTAATGTATACTGGGAAATTTTCACCGCAGTTTACCTTTTTTTTTTTTGCCCTACGCAATGAGAGCGAATTTATCATTACAGCGAATGTTATTTCACAGCATACCATATTTAGTAATGATATGTGAAGGGTGAAATTTACACTGAGACGAATACAGATTTTACCATTGAAGGGCAAATATTTGACTTGGCAAAAATTTCCCGGTAGTCAGTATTTTAACTAGAAACATTTTATCTACCAGTTAAAATCAAAAACTATTATCACTAATCATGAACTTTCACAGAATTTATAGCACTGACAATGAAATGTGTTGGTCAGCTAAATTTTGTATGAAAAAAAAATGATAATAAACACTCCTTATTTCGGCACATTATCACATGTGAAAACTCAGCAGTAAAAACTTCAAAGTTTTGTTGTTATGAAAAAACGATGTTTGTTGAGGCCAATAGATCTGACCACTTTTTGTTGTTTTACACAATCTGCCCCCAATATGCTTTATTGGGGTCTGTGGAATTTGCTATATTTCTGCATAACACTGGGACACATTTCTGCATTATATTAATTTTTTATCAGATTTCTTCACTCATGCCATTATATTCTTCAAAACACACAGACACAGATCTAACATCAAATGCTGCCTGCAGCGTACAGGAGATTGTGTTGGGCAAACTTTAAATATGCCACTATTGCGGATTTCGTTGGAAACGATCCTAACTGTTCTGGTGAAATATTTGCATCTGGTCTGAAAAAGAAGAAAAGGAAATATATTACTTCATTAACCCCTTAGCTTTATCAATTGATCTTAACATCATGCAGAAGGTTAAACATTGTATGCAATTTATAAAACCAGTTTCATGTAATGGATAGTTCAATGTAGCTACAAGTTATTACTTTATGTTCTTACAAATTGAAAACCTATTACCTGGTATTGTAGTTTGTAAACTTACAAGCTGATGAAGTTTGTGTATTCAAGGTTCAGTGTAATTACTAGTTGTTAGTTTAATACAAGTCCTTACAAGCTGATGAAGTTTGTGTATCTAAGTTTCTGTGTACTTGCTAGTTGTTAATTTAGTTCATTCACTTACAAGCTGATGAAGTTTGTGTACTCAAGTTTCAGTGAACTTACTAGTTGTTAGTTTAATACATGTACTTACAAGCTGATGAAGTTTGTGTACTCAAGTTTCAGTGTAATAACTAGTTGTTAGTTTAATACGTGTACTTACAAGCTGATGAAGTTTGTGTATTCAAATTTCAGTGTTCTTGCTAGTTGTTAATTTAGTTCATTCACTTACAAGCTGCTGAAGTTTGTGTATTTAAGTTTCAGTGTACTTGCTAGTTGTTAGTTTAATACATGTACTCACAAGCTGATGAAGTTTGTGTATTCAAGGTTCAGTGTAATTACTAGTTGTTAGTTTAATACAAGTCCTTACAAGCTGATGAAGTTTGTGTATCTAAGTTTCTGTGTACTTGCTAGTTGTTAATTTAGTTCATTCAATTACAAGCTGATGAAGTTTGTGTATCAAGTTTCAGTGTACTTGCTACTTGTTAATTTAGTTCATTCACTTACAAGCTGCTGAAGTTTGTGTATTTAAGTTTCAGTGTACTTGCTAGTTGTTAGTTTAATACATGTACTCACAAGCTGATGAAGTTTGTGTATTCAAGGTTCAGTGTAATTACTAGTTGTTAGTTTAATACAAGTCCTTACAAGCTGATGAAGTTTGTGTACTCAAGTTTCAGTGTACTTACTAGTTGTTAGTTTAATTCGTGTACTTACAAGCTGATGAAGTTTGTGTATTCAAATTTCAGTGTACTTACAAGTTGTTGTAGTGTGTGTAATAATGATAATAATAATAATTCGAGGTTCTTATATTACGCTTTATCACAACCTAGTTCTTAGGTCGTCTCAAAGCCGTTCACAAATTATTATACATGGTTATAGGGCCTTTGCAACCAGCCAATATCTTTCTCAACTCCCTGGGGAGCATACAGCCGGTGCTGCCGTTTCGGCGCTCACAGCTAGCATTCTACAATTCTAGCACTGCCCAACCACGTACTCAGTTACAGCTGAGTAGACTGGAACAAGCTAAGTAAAAGTATCTTGCTCAAAGTTACAAAACAGTGCCGTGTCTCGACTCGAACCAACAACCCTTCCGTCACGTGCCTGGTGTCCTACCACTAGACTACCGTGCCTACCGTGTACATGTATATAGTGTTACTTAAGTTTGTGTGTTGCCAAGTTGTTTTGCTATAGTTGTTTGTAGACATCAAGGTTGTCGTTTCTCTCTTTTTTCGTTGGTGTTACATTAATGAGTTGTTAGTCTATAACAGTAGGTGTATTAACATCCTCCAATTTCTAGGGGCTATGCTCATTTACCTTCTCTGCACCCTTGGAATATGTCATTACCCTTATCGAAGGCTCCGTACATGCCACCTTTTACCAGATTGGTTTGATTCTTAAACTTTGACGTACATTAAAAGAATCGCGCGGTAGCAAAACAGGCATCAGCCTAGCGACTGGTCAGGTTTTTTGTCCTGAAACCAATCAAACCAATCAAATAGCTAATATTGCGCCTTCGATTATGTCATGACATGTTCCAGGAGTGCAGAGAATGTTATATACTGTTACTTCATTTTGTGCATTGACAAGATGTTTTACTATAGTTGTATAGATCGCAACCTCTGGAATTTTGAGGTTGATGTATTAACTCATTTACCCCTGAAATTTCAAAATGAACTTTTTGAATTCCAATTCCAACCTTTGAATTGGAAGAGCTCAAATGTGTCTTCAGGGGTGAATGAGTTAAGTACATATGAAGACTGTATGTCTAGACTATCTGTGTGTTGTAGTTAATTAACTTACGGGTTGTTGTTGTTGTTGTTGCTGTTGCTGTTGTTGTTGCTGCTGCTCATACTGACGCCCTTTCTGATGTCCCAGATCTTTATACAACAGTCAAGGCCACCTGTCATCAAACACAAAAGCACATCTAATGGGTGTCGTCTATTGGTCTTCCTGGTAAGTGAATGTCTTGTACCTTACTAGATAAATTTCACAATCAAGATAACTACCTATTACTGCCAAATAAGAGGCAGGGAAATTAAATGCTTTGATCTGTCTATCTAAGCATTTTTTTTTAAATATTAATATCTCTCAAATGAACTGATGGCATATAACAATAGGAGCCACAGTTGCTCACAATTCAAACACAAACAATATAATATCACCACTGAAACACATTGGTTGGTTCGCACTGATCAAATTGACATATTGAAATAATAATGAGATCCATTTTTTTTTAGATTTTTTTCACTATTGTTATGTGACATCATTATTTCCTCCTTGATGTATTATTTTCTCTGCCATTGTGGTCTGGTTCATGTTTTTGGGAAGAAAATTGAATATTGATACAGGGTAATAAAGAGTATATGTTGTTTTTTTTGAAAATTGATAGTTACCTGATGCTAACAGGGTGCTGTCTCTGTTGAAGGTGAGGCAGTGTATGGTATCTGTGTGGCCTTTCAGTTCCTTGAACATGTTTCCGGAGGTGAGATCCCAGACCCGAATCCTACGATCATCACCTGCATAAATCACATGAAATACTTATAATAACCTGTCAAACACTTTTATATGACTTTTATGTGATTATATAAATGTGGTTTTAAAAACAGACAACATATCGTATTAAGTTAAGTTACAAACATTGTGACATGCATCTTCCATCACATGCCTGGTGAAACTGATTTAACTCCCTTTCACCACTGTAGAACAGAATGGACTCATCCAGATAAATGTATGGTAGAGTCTACTAAAGTTACCTAGGGGCGAAAGGGTAATACAATGTATAGCAATATCGCTAATTTTCTGGCCAGGCAAAACAAGGTTCTGTGTATTTCACACCGTGTCAATAAAGAGACGTTGCATTGTCTTTGAAGCTGAATTTCCTTTTTTTTACCGAAACTTATCAGTTACCCGATGACGAACTTGACAAATTGGAACAAGAAAATTTGGTAAACATTTTGACAGCATTTTATTCTATGCCAGCGGGATTGTGGTGATATGCTATCTGCAACATCAGATGAAACATATTGTTTTATAAATTCTGGCCCTTGTGTTGTGCATCTTCGAAATCCAAGGATTCTGCTGCTTTCAATATACATACCTTCTCTGCACCTTTTGAATATGTCATGACAAAATTGAAGGTTGATGGCCAGCCATTTGATTTGTTTAAGACATCAAAAAGATTTGACCAATCACTAGTTATGGGCCGATAACTGTCCTTTGACGAATACAGAGAAGCACATCAAAATCAAAGGCGATCAATTTTACCATTATATTTCTGGGCAAGTCTTTTATCTTTAATCTAAGGAATAAATCTGTAAAACAGTTTCCAGACTAATTGACTCGTATCATCACCAAGTTGGCACATACAGAACCTTCCAATTTGTTTTGACATATTCCAGGGTATAGAGAACATATACCTCATACATTTTCGGTTTTACATATGATTTACTTCAAAACTAGTATTGTTCACCCATCTTAAATGGAAAGTTCCAATATATTTATTTATTTGATTGATTTCTGTTTTATTTCCAATATGAAACGTAATATTTATGTACCATTTAAAAACAATCTATTACCACTTCTGATTTGGTAGGCTGTTATATATCTGGAACCGAAATGGCGGACCAGGGTCCAGTCTGGGCCTGTGATTGGTAATACACATCCAGAGATAACCTGTCTCCTACTTTTGACATGTTTTCATGTACAGGCTCCCTGGGCTTGTCACCATTAAAATACGGTACGTATTTCAAGAACAGAACCCTTGAATTTTAAAGATGTGTCTTATACTATGTAGTGTACAGGTTGTTTAAAAGTTAAAAGATCAGAAAGTAGATAATACCAGCGGAGGCCAGGTACTGTCCATTGGGTGAGAAAGCTAGGGCAAGGACCGAGCTCCGGTGTCCCTGCATCAGACGGACGGACTTCCCATCCTGGAGACTCCACAGTCGGACAGTCCGGTCACTGGACCCCGTCGCCAGGTAGTTAGAGTTGGGATGAAACTTGACACACTGAAGTAAAATTATTTTTAATTTCAGTGAGGACTGTCAATTTACAGAAACATTTTCAAATATCTTATATTTCAACTCCAAAGGTAAAATTTGATCATGAATAAATTCTGATTTAATTTTATGAGCTATAATTGTATCTTATTTTTAAATACTGTGGTAATCAAAATCATCAAATCATGTCAGCAAGCAAGTTTCTAGTCAGGAAAGACTGTCTGGTGTATTTGTTTGTGAAACCGCACCGTAAGATACTCCAGTATTTGTTTGTGAAACCGCACCGTAAGATACTCCAGTATTTGTTTGTGAAACTGCACCGTAAGATACTCCAGTATTTGTTTGTGAAACCGCACCGTAAGATACTCCAGTATTTGTTTGTGAAACCGCACCGTAGGATACTCCAGTATTTGTTTGTGAAACCGCACCGTAAGATACTCCAGTATCTGTTCTCATAAAAATTTACATTCTGAGGTATATTTACTGTCACTTACATAACACCAATCAAATAGATTACATTTTGATCCAAACTCTCTAATGAGTGGACCAAAAACTGCTACTTACATCCACATCATATGAGTGACCAATGAATGACCTCAATGGAAAAGTCCGGTCCGTCTCCCATAATTTCGCTGTGCAGTCCTTGGATGCCGAGGCGAAATAATTCCCAGTTGAACTGTGATAATAAAAGAAAGACTCTTGAATTTTTTAATCCTACAGAATTTTACAATTTTTTTTTATGTCAAAGTACAAAATCTTTTGATAATAAATAGAAAACACAGACAGATGTTCATTTAGTAGCTAAATGGTTAAACTTTCAATATTATTGAATTGATTTGCTAGGGTTAACATACCTAGTGTCTATGTCCCACACAGGGTAATTGTGACCTCTATAGCACACTTTGTTGGTATGAGTCTTCATGTCCCAAAGACGTACTGAAATAGAACATAAGTCAAAACATACATTTCTCAAGATATTTATTTTCACATTAACTTGTGTCAGAGGAGGAACAATCTCAAATTCAAATATTTCATCAATATTTTTCAGACAACTTGTATGTTTCAAACTAATGTTATGGCTGAGCTGTTAGGATGTTTTTATTTTACTCTATAGTACTAAAGATAGACAAAAGAGGTGCTGACCATCTCATAAAAAGCCTGAACAGATTTTAAAATGGAGCCAAAATACGCAAAGTTTTAAAATGCCAACTTTGCACGGAAAACCAGAGTACAAAAGTACACAACCGAATGATTTCAGTGCAACATTAAAAAGGTACAATCATCCATGAATAAGTTTGTTGATCAAATCATGTTTCTCAAGAACAATATTACCACATATGAGTTTGAGTAGTACCGGTAATAACTTGTAATGTATTCCGCTTAATTCAGAGCGATGATGTCCATAAACTGAGATTACATGTATTATTTCGTGCATTAAGATGTTGAGATCTTGAAATAGGTGAGTAAACTATCATGCTAATTGATATATATTGACTGTGTTTTGAAACGAACATTTGTTAAAAATACAATGTTGTTGTTGTTGTTGATTGTCTGACTACCAATCAGAAGATTTTTCATGTAAGGGGTCACTCCAATTCGACCGGTTTGACAACCCTACTTTAGATTAGTTTTATATGGTAGGTGATCGTGACTATCAGTGTATTGTCAACACACTAGAGTTTATATCTTCTTGTTTCTATTTTATCCTTTTAAATGATAAATGTGGACTACCAGGTCTTACCACATACAAGTATAACAGTACTTTTCCCTTAATGTCATGTCAAGTAATGTTACGTTTCAGTCAATATTATGTTTCCCCCTAAAGCTGTACCACTTACAACCAACTCTCAAAAGATTTCACTGTTTCAATGAAATGCATATCGAAAAAATCGGATCATATTGATAATAATTAATAATGATTATATTTTGTTCCTGGCTGTCGTTTAGTACCTGATCCATCTTCTGAACACGAGAGTAAAGCTTTAGAGTTAGCACAGAAGGATGTCTTGTAAACAGAACCGTTGTGACCTCTCAGTGTCGCCACCTCACGGTACAGGGGCTTCCTGTAAAGGGGAGACAACTTCTACAGTAAGGTATCATACATGCAGATTTTTATAATATAATAAGTGATTTAATACAGAAACGGAGGTTTACAAAATGTGCACATGGCAGATCTAATACCAGCCTTTATTACCGAATAAAGTTTGAGTTTTGACATTTGATGCTGAGTAATGATCTTCAAATCTAATCAGGTGTGAATACTGGTGCACTTTTTTGGGAGATCAGCTGATTCTACTCTTAATTCGACATTTAAGGTGTAGAACTTAGTGGAACTTTCAATGTACATGCAGATTTTGATTTTGAGAGTCTTTACAAAAATTTGTCAGAAAATCATATCAGACTAGTTGGAACAAGATAAACCCGCCCTGACTGTGGTAAAAGTCCATCTATTCACTCTTCACAAGAACGGAAATGATCCATCATTTGACTCAAAGACATGAAATCTACCATTAACGTAAGAGAAGAGGTAACAATAGATATGTTAGAATGTCCTTGTTCCTACTTTTCTTCCTTGTTCTGCTCAGTCTCAGCCTCCTCATCCTCCTCGTCCTCACACGAGGACTCTGAGGTCCAGAAGTCGGCAGACAGGTAGAGCTTGGATGGATCTGTCGTTGTTTTGGTAGACTGTATCAGACCTGGAGTGATGCTCCACAGCTTTACGGTGGAGTCCTCAAACCCAGCACTCAGAAGTGTCCTGTCTGGCGATATGTCCACCGTACATAGCCTAAACGAAACGTATCCATAACATCATCAGACAAGTTTTTGATGTTAGTGAAAGTAATAGTCAGCAGGTTGACGATGAATCAAAAGCATTACAGTATCAGAAATTCAATAAGTGTAGCAATACCTTAGGTGCTCAGGAAAGGTCAGGAAAGTACCAACATGTTTAGGGTTGTCCCTCTAACTCTTAAATTTCACAGGTATTGAGCGGAAGGTATATAAATATACCAATTATAGGCATTGAGAAAAGTTTAATCATTTGAGAAAATATAGGGTGTTCATTCTCATACCTACCCCTGATAGGTATTGAGGAATGTACAGAAACACTCAAGGACACACAGGGTGGTCCTTCTCATACCTACACCTGACAGGTATTAAGGAATGTACAGAAACACTCTAGGACACACAGGGTGGTCCCTCTCATACTTATCCCTGACAGGTATTGAGGAATGTACAGAAACACTCTAGGACATACAGGGTGTTCTTTCTCATACCTACCCCTGATAGGTATTGAGGAATGTACAGAAACACTTTAGGACACACAGGGTGTTCCCTCTCATACCTACCCCTGATAGGTATTGAGGAATGTACAGAAACACTCAAGGACACACAGGGTGGTCCTTCTCATACCTACACCTGACAGGTATTGAGGAATGTACAGAAACACTTTAGGACACACAGGGTGTTCCCTCTCATACCTACCCCTGATAGGTATTGAGGAATGTACAGAAACACTCTAGGACATACAGGGTGGTCCTTCTCATACTTACCCCTGACAGGTATTGAGGAATGTACAGACACACACAAAGACACACAGGGTGGTCCCTCTCATACTTACCCCTGATAGGCGTTGAGGAATGTACAGACACACACAAAGACACAAAGGTTGTTCCCTCTCATACTTACCCCTGAAAGGCCTTGAGGAATGTACGGAAACGCACAAGGACACACAGGGTGGTCCCTCTCATACTTACCCCTGATAGGCGTTGAGGAATGTACAGAAACACACAAAGACACACAGGGTGGTCCCTCTCATACGTACCCCTGATAGGCGTTGAGGAATGTACAGACACACACAAAGACACACAGGGTGGTCCCTCTCATACGAACCCCTGATAGGCGTTGAGGAATGTACAGAAACACACAAAGACACACAGGGTGGTCCCTCTCATACGTACCCCTGATAGGCGTTGAGGAATGTACAGAAACGCTCAAGGACACACAGGGTGGTCCCTCTCATACCTACCCCTGACAGGTATTGAGGAATGTACAGACACACACAAAGACACACAGGGTGGTCCCTCTCATACGTACCCCTGATAGGCGTTGAGGAATGTACAGAAACGCTCAAGGACACACAGGGTGGTCCCTCTCATACCTACACCTGACAGGTATTGAGGAATGTACAGAAACACTCAAGGACACACAGGGTGGTCCTTCTCATACCTACCCCTGACAGGTATTGAGGAATGTACAGACACACACAAAGACACATAGGGTGGTCCCTCTCATACTTACCCCTGATAGGTATTGAGGAATGTACAGAAACACTCTAGGACACACAGGGTGGTCCCTCTCATACCTACCCCTGACAGGTATTGAGGAATGTACAGAAACACACAAGGACACACAGGGTGGTCCCTCTCATACTTATCCCTGACAGGTATTGAGGAATGTACAGAAACACTCAAGGACACACAGGGTGGTCCTTCTCATACTTACCCCTGATAGGCGTTGAGGAAGGTGTAGAAACATATTGAAGACATACAGGGTGGTCCTTCGCGTACTTGTTTGATACATTGTTGTAGCAGCCTGACAATATCTGTGGGGCGTTTCTTCTCGCTTGCCCCAGACTCATGTTTGTCGCTCGCGCTCTCCTTCAGGTCGAGAACATGTTGGTCCTCCTTTAATACTGTCAGAAACACAAGAGATACTGCCATCAACTTATAGTCTATTTTAAAGGTTGTAAGTCAGTTTTTTAAATTTTGTCAAAAATACTTGCAAATTTGGATACTAAGACATATGTATCAATTTAGGTCCGGATTAAAAAAGACTTATAAGTCAAACTTATTGTAAAGATAATAAGTAGGAGGTATCTGCTGTCTGTTTAAATGTGTTTCCTGTAGTAAATTATAGTTAAATTCACTATCTAAGTTATTAATAGATGTACCATTTAAATATCAAAACAAAATTCATGCATTTTCCTTGAGCACCATATTTCAAACCGTATTATCCTGGGTATGTAAATTTGACTCAAGGAAACTTACCTTCCACTTTCAAATGCTGATTGAAAATTTGTAATAGCATCATATTATCATCAACCTGAAATTGAAGAAAATTGTCAAAAACATTCCACTCCTTGCAATGTACTTACACAGGTACTGCTAGATATCCTTGTACATGTCACAAAGAAAAATATCCGCTTCCATTAATGATAAATTTTGTATGCACTTTATATATTAATTAAATTTCATTGTATAGTTAAACAATAATGACAGAAAGCCTACAATTAAAAATAACGATAATACATATTATGCTCTGTAGGGCTAGCGCTATTTATCACGGGATGTTGAGAGGGAATTCAAAATATATAATATACCAAGTAATACATCAACTTTAATTTGAACCTGCTATTTTTTCAGTATACATATATTCCTTCTTTGCTTATTGCAGAGTTATCTGCTCTTGTGAGCAGGTATTGATTGTTACGTCATTTGTTTGTGAGAGTAACGTAACAATCAATACCTGCTCACAAGAGAAGATAACTCTGTAATACTCAAAGAGGGAATACATCAACAATAAAGAATATATACATTCAATCGGCTATTCTTTATATGTCAGCCATGTCTTTCAAAACTAACAGTGCTAATATTGCCCTTCACATTTAATTACTATTACTATATTATGTTGTTTACTAATATTTGCTGTGATGATACATTCACTTTTGTTATGGAGGGTGAAAAGGGCAAAAGTTTAACTGCAGCCAAAACTTCCCTGTACACTGAGTATTATTGATAAGTGACATGTACGCTAGTGAATTACTCTGTATGCACCAGATCATTATCAGAAACCATTACTGTCAGCGCATATAAAGTCCTCAACGAAAAGAATTATACTCTTTCAGTGTGTAAATTACTACAAACCTTGAGATATTTCATCAGGTAGTCCAAAGCCTCTTGTGACAGACATACTTTATACTTGTGTTCTCTGTGGAAATAGACATCAGTGGACAGTAATAATAATAATTAATAATAATAATTTGAGGTTCTTATATTACGCTTTATCACAACCTAGTTCTTGGGTCGTCTCAAAGCCGTTCACAAATTATCATCTGTGGTTATAGGGCCATTGCAACCAGCCAATATCTTTCTCAACTCCCTGGGGAGCAAACAGCCGGTGCTGCCATTTCGGCGCTCACACCTAGCATTCAACAATTCCAGCACTGCCCAACCACATATTCATTTACAGCTGAGTAGACTAGAACAAGCGGAGTAAAATATCTTGCTAAAGGATACAACACAGTGCCGTGACGTGACTCGAACCCGCAACCCTTCGGTTACGAGCCCGGCATCCTACCACTAGACTACCGTGCCTCCACAGTAGAGTGGTCAGCAGTGAAGAAAACAAAGGTTTTTCACATTATCGCATGTTTGGTAGAAAAAAATGCTTGAAGGAAAATCAAAACTTTTTTGGCGATGAGGCTTTAGTCATCTTATACAAGATGGTCGGAGCGTCATGAATTTTATATTTGGTATTTAAAATACATGTTCACAAAAGTTACTTATATTTCTTACTTCAGTTGCATATGTATAGAAGACGAGCATTACATGTAGTTTTATCAAGAGTTTGTTCCCAAGCAAACAATATTACATTATGGTTAAAGATGTATGCTACCTTTTTTCATTATACTTGTATGTCTGAGTTACACCCCTTTGATTTAATATTTTATATTGAGAATAATTTCTATATTATCAATACACTGAATATACATTATTGTGTAATCGAACATTAAATACCATATTTATCTGTCAAAAAGCCTATGCCTGGTAATAAGCCCATCCATATATATTGCAAAATGCAAACAAATATTATTTTGATGTCCGGTAATAAGTTCCCCCTCCCTGTTTTTAGTCAGAGATTATGCATAGGCCCCTGGGCTTATTGCAGGATAAATACCATGATCAACTTATTCCAATTCTGCAACAACTATTTTACAGGACTTTATAGTGCTTAACTCTCCTGAAAAGGAGATTCAATAAGATAGCATATATCCTTAATATGAGTGTTTAGAGTTTGCCTGTACCTGAACTCCATGGCCTCCTTACAACTGATGACCTCTGTACGCGTGTACAGTTTGTTTAGAGCCTCCATCACGACCAGCTCATCAGGGTTTTCAAACAGCTTCACATGGCGACTGTAGAATTTGTGTGCTGGAAAACAGAAAAAATACAACATGAATTCAAAGATCTTACATAAACCTCTCTGTAACAAAGCTTTATTTGAATATAAATACAAATTGATATCATCTAACACAGGGCAAAACAGAGGTTTCTGCTTACTTTCAAACAATTACAGTACTTCTTCCAGAAATTTTGCACTCTAGAATCAAAGACTTCCTGTATCTTCTCCAAATTCAATCTCAATTTTGACACTTTCATGTTTCATTGAATTCATATCATTCTTTTTAGACACTTCATTAGCAAAGAAACGACAAGACACTGATCTGGCATAACAGACAATCACTGTGCAATCATGATGGAACGGAAACTTTGAACAGACAAGCCAGTTGTTAAAACATATCATCCATTCACCTTTTTACAAGAATTCTTTTTAACACTAACCTTTGAACAATAGTTCTTCAACGAGACCTGTTTACACTAATGTACATACCTGGTGCCTTGTGTCCATTGTACATAAGCTGGAGGTAAATATGTACAAACAGGGGGTATACTATCGTTGTCAGCTCATCCTTGTAAGGGTCAATGGCCTCGTTTAGGTATGTCTTCAATCTACAGCATCAACAAACAATATTCATTATACAAAATGTCAAGCATTTTCACTCATGCTTATAGCACTCATGAAATATTTCAGTATTCTGCCATACTTGTCAAGTTGTGATTAAGTACTGTATTCAGTGGGAAACCATTAAATGTACTGTATTCAGTGGGAAACCATTAAATGTCCTATTATTAATTACCGTGAAAACTGTTGCTCACAAACAGTTGTGTCCCCTGATATGCTGCTATACAACAAGATATTCTCCGTTGTTGTCTCCCCTGAAGCTGAACTCTTTAGAGCCATGTCCTTTACATCATGTACCCATCTGTGCTCCTTCTTCTCAATCACTTCATGGTCCTGAAATGATGACAATAAAATCCATCAGGTACAATTACAACATATGTCTTAATCTAAAGTTGCCAAAAGCACAAGTTTTATCACGTGGGCAAGACATCCTGCTTACGTTTGTGCAATAAACAAGTGCTAATATCTTATTTCTTTCAAAGTCAGATATATCGTGTGCAGTGATGTTGTTTTTATCACCTTACAGTTGTTCATTACATGTACGTATTGTAATTTCTATAGAACTTTACTCACGATTATCCTAGATTTATTTACAGTCTGATAGAAACCTGCAATTTTTACTCCGAAGATTTATGTTAAAAATAAATATTAACATACATCATACACTTTTCACTATATTTTTCCTTAATAATTATCCATACATACATTCCTTTGATATTTTGTTGAAAAAGCTAGTAAATTCCCACCAAGAGTAAATACATGTATACCAGCAGTGTATGGAATCTCCATCTAGAACAAGCCATTCGGATTGATATGTCTCGCCTGTGCCCCGATTTGACCATCAATGCACATATCACAGAAACAAAATTAAATGCAAAAAAAAATCAATGTTGATGGAGATGCTGACAAAGTCAATGGACCATGAAAGGTAGGCCACATCCAGCATTTGATACATGTGTTGAGATGTACTACCTAAGATGCATCTACGGTCCAAGTTTGGTTGGTCTAGCACTTATACTTTCAGTGACACCAAGTTAAATGCAAAAACAAAACGTTGACGCCATCGCCAGAAAAGCAACACTTTAGTCTCGCTTCCGCTACTTCATTTCGGCGAGACAAAAGCACTGTGAAATACCACTTTGAGATGATGCTGTGGAAGAGAGCATGATTTATATGCAGGGAGTTCCAAAGAACCTGGCAAACTATATATAGTAACCATAATCCTGAAGCTAAGATCTCTGCCAACCAGCACTGCATGGTAAACGTCTGAAGAAAAATAGACCAGGTCACACTGGTAACCACAAAACCATTGTTGGAAAGGAAGGTATTCTATTGCTGGATTGTATGGTAAACCAATGAGACAGACATCGCTGTGTCATCTGCAATGGTTTGTACAGCTTGTATGTATAGGTTTAATGTTGAGGTGATAACAATAAGGTCCTCCCTAACACTCCCTGAACACTCCCCCACCACTTAAACAACAAACATGTTGGGGCACTATGTACTACCACACCTCTACATCAGAGGAAAAAATGTAACAGGGAGAATGCTGTAGTACTGAGAGAACCATATTGTGCCACCAAGGTGATAAAACAGGAATTAGCACTACAAATAATACATATCAGTGGGGCAAGCAGGGTTCAAATCTAAACACAGACATTAGTCTGCAGTCTAATTAACTAGTGGTCACTCATCAATGAAATACCTAGTTCAGAGTGTTTGATTATCGTGCCCTGGGAAACCTTATGTGATGCTGAGCTTGGTTTGGTAAGAGAACTTGACAGAAACAGCTACTATTGCCAACGATATCAGAATAGATAACTATTTTAATGACAGTGACAGCAGGTTTAAGTGGGTAGGAATGACAGTGACAGCAGGTTTAAGTGGGTAGGAATGACAGTGACAGCAGGTTTAAGTGGGTAGGAATGACAGTGACAGCAGGTTTAAGTGGGTAGGAATGACAGTGACAGCAGGTTTAAGTGGGTAGGAATGACAGTGACAGCAGGTTTAAGTGGGTAGGAATGACAGTGACAGCAGGTTTAAGTGGGTAGGAATGACAGTGACAGCAGGTTTAAGTGGGTAGGAATGACAGTGACAGCAGGTTTAAGTGGGTAGGAATGACAGTGACAGCAGGTTTAAGTGGGTAGGAATGACAGTGACAGCAGGTTTAAGTGGGTAGGAATGACAGTGACAGCAGGTTTAAGTGGGTAGGAATGACAGTGACAGCAGGTTTAAGTGGGTAGGAATGACAGTGACAGCAGGTTTAAGTGGGTAGGAATGTGACAGGCATTCGCAGGAACAGCAAACAGGTGGACTGTAGTGGTGTTTTTAGCCAAGTACATCATATCGATCTGCATGTGGCATTAGGATGTACAAAACCATGGCACTTACTATTTACTTGTGTGATGAAAATAATGCCCTATGAAGGAAATTTGTAGATACCTCTAATATATGCAAACCTTTACTATACGTACAACACCAGTGGATAAATGCATGTCCAAACCGGGGTTCGGACCCGGGACACTAAAAACTCTAGACAGACGCTCTAATCAATTGAGCTACCTGGTCGCCGGCAATCAACCTAGTCCAGCTTTGCTAAATTCCTTCCTCCTTTAACAAAGTTTTCGACCCTGAAGACACACAAGACCCTATACCACCTTCTGTGGACATATTTCGTTTGAGGCCAAATGTAACAGGAGTGATAAAATGCACAGCAAGACCGCCAGAACAGTATTATAACCTGGGAACCTCCGAACTCTAGATGGACGCTCTAACCAATTGAGCTACCAGGCCGCCGGTGATCAACCCAGTCCAATTCCCCTACACTATACATACATTGATCCTACAAACTCTATATCTGGTCACAGACATTTTACACAGGTCAGTTTAACCACAGGGGTTCGTTACAAATGTCTGAAATACACAGTATAGCACATATATGTGTATTCCAGACATTTGTAACGAACCCCCGTGGTTTAACTACCCCCCCNCCCCCCCCCCCCCCCCTAAAAAGACATCCTTTATAACCCCCTTCCACTCCAACACAAGCACTCATATCAATGTCCCTACTCAGCTTATCCACAATGAAAGCATTGACTGAAAATTGAAAATATTAGCAGAAGCTAGAGCATCATGCGATATAAACTACACTTTGCACCAAAACAGGGTACCAAGTAGTGATCTACTGACAGTGACATTGTCAAGTGCCTGTTTACCGGTGTGGATACACTTGTTCCGTGTAGAAGTACCTGGGGAAAAGTGTCATACGTACCGAATACTGTCTCCTCTTAAGATACTGGTGTACAGACGAGTGTATTTGCTCGTAACGTATGCGCTTCATTCTTGGACTTCACTCCATGCATTTGAAGCATGGTTTTGTTGTTAAACTGAAACCAAGGGCAGGTAACTCTGTCTATTTATTAAGGTAGCTTAGTCTGCAACATAAAACAACCTCGTTATAGTATATTTTTTTATATAAAATTGAAGAAAAAAAACCCACATCATAGTAATCGAATACAGAATATGAAGGAACTGATATATATATATAATAATTAATTACGACATATTGAAATCAATAAGTTGTCCTAATGGGTGTTAGACGATTCGCCCCAAAACCGTAACGCCACCAATTATCGCCCCAACCAGTTCGCCCCAAAAAAACATAAGCCCCAACATTTTCTTCCATAAAAGTCACTTATTTGACAATGTTTTAAATGGAATATCTACCTTTTATGTAATATTCTTAAAGATAGAAATTCAAAAAATAATATCTGTTGCAATTCGTTTGATGTTTAGTATGATAATGGGGGTCATACTCTTTATTGAAGTCGGAAAATTCCAATGTCCATCCCCGGCCCTCTTCGGTGTTGACTGTTGTCTTGTAAAAGTGGTTATCGCTAGCATTAAAATAACTGAATTATCCAATGGAATAGATGTGTGTCGCTAAACGGAACTTTTGAATGAAATATCAAAAAATATTACCGAAAATTGGAGGTTAATTTTTAGCCCGGATACTGGAGATGATAGAAGTCAGAAAATAGAGTAATGTGTCTATTCTTACTTGAAATCATATAAGTCAGACAGTATATTGTAAATCTCTGTAAAAAATGAATTGTAAAAATGTAGAAGCGAATGCAATTAGTAGCTGAAATGATCTTCATCGTGATTTTGGTAATCCCGATAACTATTGCGGCAACTGCACTCATATCTATGAGATCTGCCGCAGTTAATGGAAGAAGAACTATCAAATACCACGATGTAGATTAGATATTCTTAAAAAATCATATATCCCTGCTACAATAAATTTATGGAATAGACTTGATGATTATGTTAAAAATATTTCATCATCTTCTACACGCGTTTTACCGACATATTTGAATGTCGGTAACCGATACCTCTCGGTTCTTTTAGCAACTAATTAGACATAAATCAGAGACGTATAATACATATACGTATTATACGTCTCTGCATAAATGTAGTGGTCTTAAAAGTGATTTATTCCGTGTAGGTATTTGTGCATCACCTGCCTGTTATTGAGATGATGGTAATGAAGATGCGACGTATCATTATTTTTTTGTGTCTGTGCACAATTTTCAAATCCTCGAATAAGATTATTCGATAATCTTTTAAACATTGGTATTCAACCAGTCCCCCAACTGGATATCCTTATATGGGGAGATGCGGATCTTCTATTCCAAACAAATGTCAGCATCATACTTGCTGTAGAATCATTTATAAAAACATCGAAGTGGTTTGAAACCAACCAGTGGACAACTAATGCAGCCAGCCAGAACATTTCCCCTCCTGTCCCTTCTTTCACCTTTTCCCTTACTCCTCACCTTTCTCCTTGCTGATTTCATGGCAAGTAGTAGATTGTCTATGTATATATGCTGAACTTTTTGTCATCGCGTATTATATCTTAGTTACTGCATGTTGTATTTTCGAGAGAGGGCCTAGTAAGTTGTCAGAACCTACGGTCGCTTATATGTGCCATTTCGTTGTTTCGTCTCTTCGACCCGAAAGGACGACAATTAACAAATCTTGATTCTCGTTGTGTCACCGTACAATCCCTAGCATTTGATTGTTTTTCCTTCAATAAAATATGTTTGACTGAATGAGTAATATTAACAATAAAAATAAGAGAAGGAAAAAGATAAATGTAACAATATTTAAACGATGTATATAGTAAAATCCAATAAGAATTCCAAGACATACCTGACATGATATACACTTTCTACACTTTTCGCGTGTGGAAATGTTCTCGTATAGACTCTTTAAACAGATCTCAGTCGCGTATAGAAATGTACAATCCTTTTAATCTATAATCTATTAATAGATATTAGCGTGTGGACATTTTCGCGCTGATTTACTCAACGCGAAAAAAACCCCAAACATTTCCACACCACGTCAATTTCAACTTTCACATTACATTAATCGTTGTGGACCGAAAAGAAAACAATTGGATGGATCGTTTTCGTAGACAACTATACCCCAAGTCTTCTCAAATTTAGGGGGAGGGGGAAGGGGGGAGGGGGGCGTACGGCGGCTACGCTCCCTCGGAATCCACAACTGATGGTTACTCGGACAGGTTTTCACAATATTTGCTATTATGATTACTCATCCAGAACAAGTCATTCATACATGTACACTGTTGAACGCACGTGCAGCGCACGAGGTGGACTGGTTTGAAGGTGAAAGTTGTGCTGCGCTACATACCAGCGTGACACAATAGAGTTACCGTGTAAAGGTGTATATAGTTCGTTACCAGTGTGGCCGTGAAGTGGGGAATTGAAATGAAATAATATTCATTTAAATATACAGGTAGGTGGTTGATACGTGTAAGATGTTTTGATCTGATATCATGTTGTTGTGTTTCTAAGACGCACATGTGATAGCTAGCACGCGAATGAATATATGGCCACGCACGTGATCAAGTTCACCAATGAAATTGCTCATAAATATGGACAGCCAATCAGATTTGGTAAGACAGTCACAACTATCGCATTTTGACGTTTCGGCGGGAGTATACCATGGTGAGAATATTAACCGACAGGGCTGGACGTGGTGAGTGACTTTGAATTTTCTGTCTTATTTTCCAGGTGTTGAGTGTAGCATTTATGATTATTTGTGATTCTTTACATATATAACTGTAGCATACTGTTGCCGATAGTGATATTGCGGTTGGTTTCAACACAGAAGTACACGTTTATATCTAGTCCGCTAAATGACCATAGTCACAGGATCCAACATACTGACCAGTCGCCTGTTTTATGGCTTACCCTATATAAACAGGCGACCTGTAGTCACGTCGACGTTCCACTTACTGAGGTTAAAGGGTTGTTTCCAGACAGTGTTGGATCATCACACTCAATACACTTTTGTCTATCATAAGGTTGAGGCATTTATATTGAATGTAAGGCAAGTGCTGAACCATATTTTCATATTTTAGGGGCCAAAACTGGTTAATTTGACTTGGTTAAATATTTTGAGGCTTGAGGTTTAAGTTTTTTGGGCAAGTTTTTTTGTGTAGTGTTAGATCACCACCATCAATGCCTATGCTGTTGTCTATTATAACGGTGGAGTATTTATATGGAGTGTGAGCAATGTTCTGAACCATATTTTCATAGTTTATGGGGCCAGAACTGGTTAGTTTGACCTGGTCTCGTTTTTTGAGGCAAGTTTGCATGTGCAGTGTTTGATTGGTCAATAGGCTGTTGACTATATCACGTTGTCTGGCCATCTCTTCTTTTGAAATGTACAACACGTTAAGGTACAGTAAAACCTGGTTATATTGCCACCATTTGTTCAAAGAAATATTTGCATTATAAAGGGGTTTGGCAAGAAATTAAGGGAAACGTATGAAGGAATTCGCAATAAAATCATAATTAATGGTCCTGAAACCATTTAATCCAACCATTTTTCGTCGCTTGCTCGCTATTTCACAGAATGTAGAGCGTGGTAGAATGCACATTTATTCCGATGTTACAAAAGTCCAGTACAACATGTTAAGTGAATTATAAGCCGAGCTGTAATCAAAACCCTAAATAACTTTATCATATAATCTGACATGCGCACGAATATGGGGCTTCGTGATGACGTTGACCAATGAAATCGTTCGTAAGGGGGACAGCCAATCAGAGCCGGTATAAAACTGTCGAATTATACTCACTTAGCTAAATTTTCATGAAGTTAACAATTTGGCGCGAGAACTATTGTGTAGATTGTGACAGATCAGTGGCGGATCCAGAGGGGTTTTTTGGGCTTCAGGAAACCCCCCCACCCTGAAAATTTTCTTTAAAAATCATATATTTTCACCATTTTCCTCATTTTTTTTCAACATGGAAACCCCCCCAGGAAATTTGGAAACCCCCCCAGATAGGTCTCTGGATCCGCCACTGCAGATCGAGCTGGACGTGGTAAGCTTTTCCCTCAATATTTCGTTTTCTCTTATGTATAGAGTTTAGCTTAATAGTTCTTTGTGTATTATGTTGTTATCGATATTGATTTCACTTAATTCTTACGAACTCAGAAATAGGAAATTTGATATTGTTCTATACACGACGATAGTATAGTCCAAATATCTGAACCGGAAATACATTTGAGTGACTTGCAAAGCATTTCATCAATGTTGCTGATTTATATTTAATGCTTTTAATATTTGAAGAAGGATATAGGATTTTTATTTAGGCTTAACACTGAAAATCTATCGAAAAAAGTTAAGTAAAGGGAGGTAATTCGGTCATTCCTATTTCTCTCAAAATTTATTGACTTCTTTTATTTATTTTTTATTTGTATTTCCGCTCTATATGAGAATTCCTCCGGATTAATTTACTTATATACATTCGGTCTTATATTTCTAAAATTGAGATCTTCATATTTAATAGGATTTGATAGGATAATTGGTGGACGCAGGTATATATACTGCCTATAAGTCCATATCAGTAATATTACCGTACAATTTGCCTACCTAACATCTATATATATGTTATAATATTATTTCAGAATGTTTTATTTTCTTGATTTGTTAAACATAAAGTTTTTGACTTAGTAAGGTATTTATTATAAATGTGATATTAATTTTAAACTGTATAATTATAGACTGTTTCCTTTGAAATCATACTGATGTTTTCTCAATCACAAGAAATATTGTTCAGTTTACTTTACATATAGCTAGTTGAAACGATAAAATAATCAGACAAAAAATGTGTTACATAATCTTTTGTAATACTCAGTTAAATTAATTTTCCTTGAGTAAACACTGTAGTGCACCGAAGTTAGCACTGGTGTGCACTGGAGTTGACACCGTAGTGCACTGGAGTTAACACTGGTGTGCACCGAAGTTAACACTGAAAACTGGTATGCACGTGCATATTAACATGTCTGAGGACGAGTTCGATTGTAAACTGGTAATATTTATTTAAGCATGTCTGTCTGTTTGTTTGTCTGATACGTTTTAATATCTTTGTAAAAGCTGCCCTAATGAGTCGATTTTAATGAAATATGGTAAACAAATACATGTATGTTAGCATGTTTGAGGCTGAGTTCGATCAGGGATGTGATCCGAGCATATTTACGTACAATTAATGAGGTTACAATTTTGCGGGGAATATAAATTCCACGAATTTGCCAGTTATGATAAATGTAATGTCTCGTATAAATCCTTTTGTTTTTCGGCATGAAATGTTTAGTCCCCTACCGATGAAACCGGGGAGACTAGGTTTTGTCCGTCCGTTCGTCAGTTGTCCGTCCGTTACCTTTCGTTAAGGTTTTGGTTCACGTTTTGTAATGGCTTACCATTCGCTTAATATTAAATCATGTTAGGATGCTGATTCTTTGCATAGAGGTTCTTTAGGGGTCTAGTGTTTGCTTTTGTTTGTTTTGAATTTTCGACATGTTTTCCACTTAACTATCTTAGCCAAAATCTGCAGGTAAAAGTTTTGAAATGGCTCACCGTTCATTTAATAATAGTGTTAGGATGCTGATTGTATGTACGGAGGTTCTTTAGGGGTCTAGCATTAATGTTGTTTAGTCTGTTTGGGGCGCCGGTAGGGGACATGTATTGATTCATCAATACTCGCAGAATGCTTGTTCTATATGTAGTAACCTCACCGCCTTAGCATAGATGGGCAGGGATAGTTCTGTTTACCGGGTAGCTCTACCGGTTAGAGCAGTGGTGCAACTTGAAGTTCAGGATTCGAACCCCGGTCTAGTCCCGGTGAAATTTTACAATCAGAACACTGTTTTTGATTAATTAATTCTCATAAAATTCTCGCAAGGTATGAAATTCATTTCAGAAATTGTTGTATCAATTTCAACTTTTTACAAGGTCTTCAATTCCCTTAAATATTGAATATCTTCTATTAAATAGCAACAATGCCAGTTTATAGTGTGATAGTGTAGTACTTATTGTGTAAAGGGCGTTTTCCTGCAATATACTAATTATTTTGTTCTTTTGCCCGATGACAAAATGGATATCGATTTCTACTGCAGTTTTTCGCATTTGATAATATTATATTGTTAAATCAATAAGCACTGATCTCGTTCCACGCGTAGCAGTTTAATTAAAGGATCCCTGGCCCACTGCACTGTTTTCTTGCCTTATATACAGTAGATTCCTCTTAATTTTTCGTTTTGGAGATAACTATAGAACATTTTGACCACGACACTTTCGTTGATTCGTTAAAAAGTGACCAGGGTTCGAATCCCAGTCTAGTCCAGCTTCATTTTACACTCAGAACACCGTTATTGATTATTTTTTGTTGATTTCATTTTCATTTTTTTCATAAAAAGGAATGGTGTTTTCTTTTCAGAAATGTTTTATCAAAGCCGAAGTCATGCGCGAAAATACAACAGTTTCCAATGTGTAGTTACTGTACAGTTTTTACCAGTGGTACGGGCATCCTTAAATGGTGACACTTATGCTTTCACAGATTCCCTCTGTACAGTTTTTACCAGTGGTACGGGCATCCTTAAGTGGTGACACTGTTGCTGACACAGATTCCCTCTGTACAGTTTATACCAGTGGTACGGGCATCCGTAAATGGTGATACTGTTGCCGACAGAGATTCCCTCTGTACAGTTTTTACCAGCGGTACGGGCATCCGTAAATGGTGACACTGTTGCCGACACAGGTTCCCTCTGTACAGTTTTTACCAGTAGTACGGGCATCCTTAAATGGTGACACTGTTGCCGACACAGATGCCCTCTGTACAGTTTTTACCAGTGGTAAGGGCATCCTTAAATGGTGACACTGTGGCCGACACAAATTCCCTCTGTACAGTTTTTACCAGCGGTACGGGCATCCGTAAATGGTGACACTGTTGCCGACACAGGTTCCCTCTGTACAGTTTTTACCAGTTGTACTGGCATCCTTAAATGGTTACACTGTTGCTGACACAGATTACCTCTGTACAGTTTTTCACAGTGGTACGGGCATCCGTAAATGGTGCCACTGTTGCCGACACAGATTCCCTCAGTACAGTTTTTACCAGTGGTACGGGTATCCTTAAATGGTGACACTGTTGCTGATACAGATTCCCTCTGTACAGTTTTTACCAGTGGTAAGGGCATCCTTAAATGGTGACACTGTGGCCGACACAAATTCCCTCTGTACAGTTTTTACCAGCGGTACGGGCATCCGTAAATGGTGACACTGTTGCCGACACAGGTTCCCTCTGTACAGTTTTTACCAGTGGCACGCGCATCCTTAAATGGGGACACTGTTGCTGACACAGATTCCCTCTGTACAGTTTATACCAGTGGTACGGGCATCCGTAAATGGTGCCACTGTTGCCGACACAGATTCCCTCAGTACAGTTTTTCCCAGTGGTACGGGCATCCTTAAATGATGACACTGTTGCTGACACAGATTCCCTTTGTACAGTTTTTACCAGTGGTACGGTCATCCTTAAATGGTGACACTGTTGCCGACACAGATGCCCTCTGTACAGTTTTTACCAGTGGTAAGGGCATCCTTAAATGGTGACACTGTGGCCGACACAAATTCCCTCTGTACAGTTTTTACCAGCGGTACGGGCATCCGTAAATGGTGACACTGTTGCCGACACAGATGCCCTCTGTACAGTTTTTACCAGTGGTACGGGTATCCTTAAATGGTGACACTGTTGCCGACACAGGTTCCCTCTGTACAGTTTTTACCAGTGGTAAGGGCATCCTTAAATGGTGACACTGTGGCCGACACAAATTCCCTCTGTACAGTTTTTACCAGCGGTACGGGCATCCGTAAATGGTGACACTGTTGCCGACACAGGTTCCCTCTGTACAGTTTTTACCAGTTGTACTGGCATCCTTAAATGGTTACACTGTTGCTGACACAGATTACCTCTGTACAGTTTTTCACAGTGGTACGGGCATCCGTAAATGGTGCCACTGTTGCCGACACAGATTCCCTCAGTACAGTTTTTACCAGTGGTACGGGTATCCTTAAATGGTGACACTGTTGCCGACACAGATGCCCTCTGTACAGTTTTTACCAGTGGTACGGGTATCCTTAAATGGTGACACTGTTGCCGACACAGGTTCCCTCTGTACAGTTTTTACCAGTTGTACTGGCATCCTTAAATGGTTACACTGTTGCTGACACAGATTCCCTCTGTAAAGTTTTTACCAGCGGTACGGGTTCCCTTTAATGGTTACACTGTTGCTGACACAGATTACCTCTGTACAGTTTTTCACAGTGGTACGGGCATCCGTAAATGGTGATACTGTTGCCCACACAGATTCCCTCTGTACCATAATTCCTTCCTCCATCTTCACAGTTTGTGATATAAAGCCGTTGAATAAGACATGTGTAGACATTTCTTTAAGCTCAATCATATTACATATATTTTAAACAGAAGTCTGCCCAGGCATACCATAGTGATATAGAACTCCTTATGGTATACTAAATGCAACCACGGAATCAAAAACGTGCAAGATTGTTTTACGGGGTGTCATTCATTCGGAAAAGTGTATGAACTTCAGCTGATTCTTTTATATATTTGATATAGCCATGTCAAATAATTGAAACCAACTTTAATTTTGTGTGCACTGCGTGGGTCCCTAATGGGTGAGCCGTTTGACTGTTTTTGTATGCTAACTTTTATAGATTTGCATGTATTTCTTTAAAGCAATTCGTAGTATAGCAAATCTTTCAAAATGATAGCACTCCTTAGAATATTGCATTGCAGATACCAAAAATACAATACCTCGATGGCAGTACTGGAGCTGTGGGTAGCAGATTCCTTGTAGGCTGAACTAGAGCAGGGATGGAGCAGAGATACCTCGATAGGCTGTACTGGATGCGGAGGAGTTGCTGCCGACATACCACAAAGACTGTACTGGATGCGGAGGAGTTGCTGCCGACATACCACAAAGACTGTACTGGATGTGGAGCACTTGACCGGGCATCGGTCAGGTATTTCCTTCGGGACTACGGTAATATTCTTTCTTTTCTCCTTCTGTTGTAAGAATGAAGGAAATGTGTCAGATCTAAAAATCTAAACATGTGGGCATGTCAATTCCGCCAAATGTGGATTTGATCATGCCATACACCCGCATGTGGCAAGAATGATATTGTATTCGATGATGCAAGATTTTCCTTCTCTGAAGATTTGTGAAACTTGAGTTGAATGTGGGGCGAATGGACTTGATAGATCAACAGCGCTTATAATTTGATTGACATGAGAGGTATAGTGTTTGGATAGGCCGACTTTGATTCTTTTTTCTGACCATTGCCTGTCCTTCAGCTACAACAGATGTACTGTTATTACAAGCAATAGTGCTTTGTATTGAACAGTACGCGGCCTGATGACGAATGTCAGAAGATATCGTTTTTATATGTGGCGGCGGTAATGTATCACCGATTTTACCAAAATTTGGTTTGGTAAAACGATACTATTGCAAATCTTTCAAAATGATGACACTCTGTCAGAATAATGTATTGCAGATCCTGGGGAATGGCGGACGTTGACGACAGCCCGGGACATGGAGCAGGGATGGAGCAGAGATGCCTCGATAAGCTGTACCGGATACAGAGGGGTTACTGCCGACATACCTCAATGGCTGTACTGGATGCAGAAAACTTGACCGGGCATAGGTCAAGTATTTCCTTCGGGACTACGGTAATATTCTTTCTTTTTCTCATTCTGTTGTAAGAATGAAGGAAAGATAATACGTCAGATCTAAATTCCAATAAGGCTACTTGCAAACCTTACTGGGCACTCTTGCAATCGAACTAATGGACAATGCTGGTCTTTTGATCGGGTCTTACAAACTGTGTTCTTCTCTGCTATTACAAATACCTTTATGAGGAAAATGTCTGCTATTCTTTACAACTATTCCTTCTCTAAACATGTGGGCATGTCAAGTCCGCCAAATGTGGATTTGATCATGCCATACACCCGCATGTGGCAAGAATGATATTGTATTTGATGATTTGTGAAACTTGAGTTGAATGTGGGGCGAATGGACTTGATAGATCAACAGCGCTTATAATTTGATTGACAGGAGAGGTATAGTGTTTGGATAGGCCGACTTTGATTCTTTTTTCTGACCATTGCCTGTCCTTCAGCTACAACAGATGTACTGTTATTACAAGCAATAGTGCTTTGTATTGAACAGTACGCGGCCTGATGACGAATGTCAGAAGGTATCGTTTTTATATGTGGCGGCGGTAATGTATCGCCGATTTTACCAAATATTTGGTTTGGTAAAACGATACTATTGCAAATCTTTCAAAATGATGACACTCTGTCAGAATAATGTATTGCAGATCCTGGGGAATGGCGGACGTTGACGACAGCCCGGGACCTGGATCAGGGATGGAGCAGAGATACCTCGATAGGCTGTACCGGATGCAGAGGGGTTACTGCCGACATACCTCAATGGCTGTACTGGATGCAGAAAACTTGACCGGGCATAGGTCAGGTATTTCCTTCGGGACTTTGGTAATATTCTTTCTTTTCCTCATTCTGTTGTAAGAATGAAGGAAAGATAATACGTCAGATCTAAATTCCAGCAAGGCTACTTGCAAACCTTACTGGGCACTCTTGCAATCGAACTAATGGACAATGCTGGTCTTTTGATCGGGTCTTACAAACTGTGTTCTTCTCTGCTATTACAAATACCTTTATGAGGAAAATGTCTGCTATTCTTTTACAACCATTCCTTCTCTAAACATGTGGGCATGTCAAGTCCGCCAAATGTGGATTTGATCATGCCATACACCCGCATGTGGCAAGAATGATATTGTATTTGATGATGCAGGATTTTCCTTCTCTGAAGATTTGTGAAACTTGAGGTGAATGTGGGGCGAATGGACTTGATAGATCAACAGCGCTTATAATTTGATTGACATGAGAGGTATAGTGTTTGGATAAGCCGACTTTGATTCTTTTTTCTGACCATCGCCTGTCCTTCATTCAGCTACAACAGATGTACTGTTATTACAAGCAAAAGTGCTTTGTATTGAACAGTACGCGGCCTGATGACGAATGTCAGACATACAACAGACTAAACCACAGGACCACTTATGACAAACAAAGTGTATGGAACAACAACCACTGACAGACTAGAGCATGGGAACAACCAAACTCGACAACCTACAGCAATCAACATAATTCTAGTAACAGACCAGAGGAGGGGGACAACAAAAGATGGAAACACGACAGACAACATGGAAAGCACAGGAACTACCAATGACAGAACAGAAAGTATGGTACAACCACCAGCAGCAACAGAAAAAGGATATGAATCCATGACAGACCATAAAATGTAGAAGAGAACGGGACCACTACATATTACACAAGATAAGGGGTAGAAGACCTTGGAATATGAAATCAAAACTGACCAGAGCACAGGACTACAAATTACAGAACAGAGTATGGTACAACCACCAGCAACAGAGTAAACTGAGGATGGATCAACAACCTGCAGCTGATTGAACAAAAAACCTTCTAAAATGACTAGAATTAAATGATTGAACAGTAACAGACCAGACTAAAATGGATGGATCTACCAACCTTAACCAATGAAGAACTAGAACAACCAGTGACTACAGAAAGAATCTCGTACCAGTCCAGTTCCAGTGTTGATGGCACCGATTCCTTACCAGTCGGGTATTATTGATATTACATAATTATCGCAATCCTGTTTTCTGTTTGTCGGCTCAAAGCAGTTTTGAATGTCATTCAATACAAACGTTCTATTTTGTTAGTTTTTCTGATATATCTGGTTATATCTGATGTACGTCCTGGTGTAGGCTAAAGGAAAACCTTGTTAATACGAGTACAAAAAAATACATTGTTCATGTATATAGGCATTCAGTTGCATTTAAATATCAAAGGAAATAAAATAATGTTTGTTATTTAATATTTTCCGACAGGAGCTAAAAGGATGCAGTAATGATGTACAACAGACTATAGCACATGACACATATAGGACAGACCAAAGCGTATTGAACAACCACCAATGACAGATCAAAGAGTATGGAACAACCTACAATGACAGACCAACGAGTATGGAACAACCACCAATGACAGATCAAAGAGTATGGAACAACCACCAATGACCGACCAAAGAGTATGGAACAACCACCAATGACAGACCAAAGAGTATGGAACAACCACCAATGACAGATCAAAGAGTATGGAACAACCACCAATGACCGACCAAAGAGTATCGTACAACCACCATTGACAGACCAGAGAGTATCGTACAACCACCAATGACAGATCAAAGAGTATGGAACAACCACCAATGACGGATTAAAGAGTATGGAACAACCACCAATAACCGACCAAAGAGTATGGAACAACAACCAATGACCGACCAGAGAGTATCGTACAACCACTAATGACAGATCTAAGAGTATGGAACATCCACCAATGACCGACCAAAGAGTATCGTACAACCACTAATGACCGACCAATGATTAAGGACCAACCAAAGAGTATGGAACAACCACCAATAACAGACCAATGAGTATGGAACAACCACCAATAATAGACCAAAGAGTATGGAACAACAACATATGACCGACAAAAAAGTATGGAACACTCACCGATGGCACACCAAAGATTATTGAACAACCACCAATAACAGACCAGAGAGAATCGTACAACCACCAATAACCGACCAAAGAGTATGGAACAACAACCAATGACCGACCAGAGAGTATCGTACAACCACGCATGACAGATCAAAGAGTATGGAACATCCACTAATGACCGACCAAAGAGTATGGAACAACCACCAATGACCGACCAAAGAGTATCGTACAACCACTAATGACCGACCAATGATTAAGGACCAACCAAAGAGTATGGAACAACCACCAATAACAGACCAATGAGTATGGAACAACCACCAATGATAGACCAAAGGGTATGGAACAACAACATATGACCGACCAAAAAGTATGGAACACTCACCGATGGCACACCAAAGATTATTGAACAACCACCAATAACAGACCAGAGAGAATCGTACAACCACCAATAACCGACCAAAGAGTATGGAACAACAACCAATGACCGCCCAGAGAGTATCGTACAACCACTAATGACAGATCTAAGAGTATGGAACATCCACCAATGACCGACCAAAGAGTATCGTACAACCACTAATGACCGACCAATGATTAAGGACCAACCAAAGAGTATGGAACAACCACCAATAACAGACCAATGAGTATGGAACAACCACCAATGATAGACCAAAGAGTATGGAACAACAACATATGACCGACCAAAAAGTATGGAACACTCACCGATGGCACACCAAAGATTATTGAACAACCACCAATGACAGACCAAAGAGTATGGTACAACCACCAATGACAGACAAAAGAGTATGGTTCAACCACCAATGACAGACAAAAGAGTATGGTACAACCACCAATGACAGACCAAAGAGTATGGAACAACCACCAATGATAGACCAAAGAGTATAGAACAACCACCAATGACCGACCAGAGAGTATCGTACAACCACGCATGACAGATCAAAGAGTATGGAACAATCACCAATGACGCACCAAAGAGAATGGAACAACCATCAATGACCGACCAAAGAGTATGGAACAACCACCAATGACACACCAAACAGAAAAGAACAACCACAAATGGCAGACCAAATAGTATGGAACAACCACCAATGACCGATCGATGAGTAAGGAACAACCAAAGAGTAAGGAACAACCACCAATGATAGATCAAAGAGTATGGAACAATCACCAATAACCGATCAAAGAGAATGGAACAATGACCAATGACCGACCAAAGAGTATGAAACGATCACCAATGACAGATCAAAAAGAATTTACCAACCACCAATGACCGACCAAATAGTATGGATCAACCACCAATAACAGACCAATGAATATGGAACAACCACCAATGAGAGACCAAAGATTATTGAACAACCACCAATGACAGAACACACGTATGGAACAACCATCAATGACCGACCAAAGAGTATCGTACAACCACCAATGACAGACCAAAGAGTATGGTACAACCACCAATGACAGACCAAAGAGTATGGTACAAACACCAATGCCAGACCAATGAGTATGGAACAACCACCAATGATAGACCAAAGAGAATGGAACAACCACCAATGATAGATCACCAATGACAGATCAAAAAGAATTTACCAACCACCAATGACGGACCAAATAGTATGGATCAACCACAATAACAAACCAAAGAATAATGAAAAACCACCAATGAGAGACCAAAGATTATTGAACAACCCCCAATGACGCACCAAAAATTATTGAACAACCACCAATGACAGATCAAAAAGTATGGAAAAAAACTGACAGATCAAAGAGTATGGAACATCCACCAATGACAGATCAAAGAGTATCGTACAACCACCAATGACAGATCAAAAAGTATGGAAAAAAACACCAATGACCGACCAAAGTGTATGGAACAACTACCATTGACAGACCAGGGTATGGAACCAGAAAATGACAAATCACAAAAGAACAACCACAAATGGCAGACCAAATAGTATGGAACAACCACCAATGACAGCTTAAGGAGTATTGAACAACCATCACTGACCGACCAATGAGTACGGAACAACCAAAGAGTAAGGAACAACCACCAATCATAGATAACAGAGTATGGAACAATCACCAATGACCGACCAAAGAGTATGAAACGATCACCAATGACAGATCAAAGAGTATCGTACAACCACCAATGACCGACCAAATAGTATGGAACAACCAATAACCGACCAAAGAGTATGGAACACTCACCGATTGCTCACCAAAGATGATTGAACAACCTCCAATGATAGACCAAAGAGTATAACAACCACCAATGACAGACCAGAGCGTATGGAACAACCATCAATAACCAACAAAAGAGTATGTAACAACCATCAATGACCGACCAAAGAGTATTGAACAACCACCAATGACGCACCAACGATTATTGAACAACCACCAATAACAGACCAGAGAGAATCGTACAACCACCAATGACAGACCAGAGCGTATGGAACAACCACCAATGATAGATCACCAATGACAGATCAAAAAGTATGGAACACTCATCGATGGCACACCAAATATTATTTAACAACCACCAATAACAGACCAATGAGTATGGAACAAACCACCAATGACAGACCAAAGCGTATGGAACAACCATCAATAACCAACAAAAGAGTATGAAACAACCATCAATGACCGACCAGAGAATATGGGACAACCACCAATGACGCACCAAAGATTATTGAACAAACACCAATGACAGACCAGAGCGTATGGAACAACCATCAATAACCAACAAAAGAGTATGAAACAACCATCAATGACCGACCAGAGAATATGGGACAACCACCAATGACGCACCAAAGAGCAGGGAACAACCATCAATGACCGACCAGAGAATATGGAACAACCACCAATGACAGGCCAAAGAGTATGGAACAACCAATAACCGACCAAAGAGTATGGAACAATCACCAATAACCGATCAAAGAGAATGGAACAATCACCAATAACCCATCAAAGAGAATGGAACAATGACCAATGACCGACCAAAGAGTATCGTACAACCACCATTGACAGACCAGAGAGTATCGTACAACCACCAATGACCGACCAGAGAGCATGGAACAACCACCAATGACCGACCAGAGAGCATGGAACAACCACCAATGACCGACCAGAGAGCATGGAACAACCACCAATGACCGACAAAAGAGAATGGAACAACCACCAATGATAGATCAAAGAGAATGGAACAATCACCAATAACCGATCAAAGAGAATGGAACAATGACCAATGACCGACCAAATAGTATGGAACAACCACCAATGACCGACCAAAGAGTATGGAACACTCACCGATTGCACACCAAAGATGATTGAACAACCACCAATGATAGACCAAAGAGTATGGAACAACCACCAATGATAGACCAAAGAGGATGGAACAACCGCCAATGACCGACCAAAGAGTATGGAACAACCACCAATGACCGACCAAAGAGTATGGAACAACCACCAATGACCGACCAAAGAGTGGAACAACCACCAATGACGCACCAAAGATTATTGAACAACCACCAAGGACAGACCAGAGCGTATGGAACAACCATCAATGACCGACCAAAGAGTATGGAACAACCAATAACCGACCAAAGAGTATGGAACAATCACCAATAACCAACCAAAGAGTATGGAACAACCAATAACAGACCAAAGAGTATGGAACAACCACCAATGACAGATCAAAGAGAATTTACCAACCACAAATGACCGACCATATAGTAGGGGACAACCACCAATAACAGACCAATGAGTATGGAACAACCCCCAATGATAGACCAAAGAGTATGGAACAACCAATGACGACCAAAAAGTATGGAACACTCACCGATGGCACACCAAAGATTATTGAACAACCACCAATAACAGACCAGAGAGAATTGTACAACCACCAATGACCGACCAAAGAGTATGGAACAACCACCAATGACCGACCAAAGAGTATGGAACAACCACAAATGACCGATCAAAGAGTATGGAACAACCACCAATGACCGACCAAAGAGTATGGAACAACCACCAATGACGCACCAAAGATTATTGAACAACCACCAATGACAGACCAGAGCGTATGGAACAACCACCAATGACAGACCTAAGAGTATTGAACAACTACCAATGACAGGCCAAAGAGTATGGCACAACCACCAGTGACCTAACCAAAGAGTATGGAACAATTGCCAATGACACACCAAAGAGTATGGAACAACCACCAATGACAGGCCAAAGAGTATGGTACAACCACCAATGACAGACTAAGGAGTATGGAACAACCACCAATGACAGGCCAAAGAGTATGGTACAACCACCAATGACAGGCCAAAGAGTATGGAACAACCACTAATGACAGACCAAAGAGTATGGTACAACCACCAATGACAGACCAATGAGTATGGAACAACCACTAATGACAGACCAAAGTGTACGGAACAACCACCAATGACAGACCAATGAGTATGGAACAACCACCAATGACAGATCAAAAAGTATGGAAAAAAACACCAATGACCGACCAAAGTGTATGGAACAACTACCATTGACAGACTAGGGTATGGAACCAGAAAATAACAAATCACAGCTGAAATAATGAAACGGGCCAGAGCACAGGACCACTATTGACAGACCAAAGTATGGTATAACCAATACTTAAAGGCCCCAAAAAATGGAAGCAACACAACAGAAAACAAAGCAATCAGAAGACCAAATCACAAACTGTAAAACATAAGGTGAAACAACCAATCAAAACCGGCCACTGAGGACGAAAACACAACATTCAGCAGAGCGCTATGAATAAGACAACCACAGACAATAGTCCACAGCGGATGGAACCACAACCCAGGCCACGACTACAGAGAATTGGGACTACAAGTAACGATAGATTACAGAGGCTATGGCAACCATTCATGGCTGATAAAGGAATAGAACACCCAGTAACTACAGAAGGAATTCTTTACCAGAGTCTAGTTTATGTGTCGATAGCACCGATTCCTTACAAAACAGGTATTATTGATATTACACAACTATCACAGTCCTAAACGCTCTGATCATGAATGTTTTACGTTTATCAGCTGAAAGCAGTTTTAAATGTCATTGAATACACCAATCATTTTTTTAGTCATTCTGATATATCTAAATATAACTGATGTACGTCCTCGTTTAGGTTTAAGGAAAAATCTTGTTTATAGCAATATAATGGTACAACAGAAATATATTGTACATGTATATAGGATTTTAGTTGCATTTAAATATGAAAGGAAATAACGTCTGGTATTTAATATTTTCCACGGAAGCTAATAGGATGCAGAAATGCTGTACAACAGACTATAATACATGGCCACACAGGACAGACCAAAGGATATGGAACAGACCAGAGGATGGATAGAGCATAGCTGAAATAATGAAACAAAACACAGGACCACTAATGCTGACCAAAGTATGGTATAACCACTAGCATCAGACCAGAGGAGGAGACAGCAATACTAAAATGCCCACAAAAGATGGAAGCAACAACGACGACAGAAAGCAAAGCAATCAGAAGATGGCACCACAATGTAAGACGGACCAGAGCATATGGCGACCTAGGACAGACCAAATAGCATGGAACAAGTACCAAATACAGACCAGAAGATGGCACCACAATGTATGGTATAACCACTAGCATCGGATCAGAGGAGGAGACAGCAATACGATGACAGAAAGCAAGGAAAGCAATTAGAAGATGGAACCACTTATAGGACAAACCAGAGCATATGACGACGTAGGACCAAATAGTATGCAACAAGCACAAAATACAGACCAGAAGATATACCAAACTCTACAAATGCCAAACACAACACAAAACACGGAAAGCAAAATTAATAGAACACGGCCTTCGTCACATAACTCCAGAAGATGGAACCAAAACGTAAGATGAACCAAAACAAAGAGCCCCGAGTGATAGAACAAAGAGTATGGTACAACCACCAGCAACAGACAACGGCGGACAGAACCACAACTTATGGCAACCCATAATGGATGTGAAACACAGCAAAGTATCGCAAGGCACTCCATTGTACCACCCCCAACGGTAATGATTTCTATATCTAACAAACAGTGAACTTATGTCAGACAGCATAGGTCACAGTCAGGTCATAGTGACCTACTTCTTGCACCCCTCCATTCCGAGATGTCCTTGTTCACCAAATCTGGTTACTCCTGGTAAAATTGTATAGAAGATATGCCTTAGACGAACATTTTCAAAATTAAATATCAAAGGTCAAGTCATAGGTCACAGTGACCTAATTCTTGCACTCTGCACTCCATCATTCCAAGATGTTGTTCATTATAATGGAGTAAAAAAAAAAAAACACTTGTCCTCGGCTAATATATTTAACACTGATTTCTACAATCATTCTTATTTTACTTTACAGGACATGACAACGATGTGTATCCTGTATTCCCGGTATCTACAAAATCTCCACTTGTGCACAAGCAGGCTGCTGAAAAATATCTGTAAATTTGAACCTGTAACCTGGGACGGATTGGTATATGGAGGTGTTCACTTTGACCTGAAGACATTTGATCCTGAAGTTACAAAACTATGTGTTTTTGTTAGGATCTTATCTAAATATTGTCAGTCATTTGATGAAGGGCTATGCATAGAAAAAAAGGTTTTAAAGAAATAATTCAAATTCTTGAATCGGTTTGCAGAAGTATTAAGACCATTTCATATTTGTAAAATGTATTTCATTTGTTTTTTTTAGATAGAGAGTCCCATCACTTTAATACAGATATTAACTACTGAATAATTTTCATGTGTAACTGATATTTGCTCTATATCATTATTTCAAGTCATCGTAATGCACATCTTCAATTTATAAATATTAAATTCCCTTTGCCCTTGAAGATTCTCCTGAACAAGTTTGGTTCTTTGGAGATAAAAAACAATAAGTGGAACCCTCTACCTTAATCACTTCCATTTTCATACTCATTCACTCAAAACAAACATTGTGCAAAAAAGAAAATTCTGAAACACTTTCTTTTGTGAGAAATGCTAATTTTTGGTGTTTTAGTGTTTTTTGTCCGAAAAACCTTTATAAAATTAGAAATGTATTTCTTTCACTCTATTGAGGTTGTCATTTTTACTAGAAACATTCAGTGTAAAGTACTTTTACAGAATTAATGTCTGTACACTTGAACTTAAAATATGTATATTTTGTTAAATGTGTCGAAATATAGGAGTACAGTAATTACTCTTTTGTTATTTAAGGACGTTTATTGCAATATCAAAAATTTCCCAAAAAGGAATAACTAGCTATTTTTTACTCATAAAACCTATCTGTAGAAAATGCTATTAAATTCTGTTTTAAACTTTTCTAACGTGTCCATATCTATTTTTAAAGTCATTTTCATGATAATGAAACAAATAGTTAATTTATTTTAAAGATTGGAACTACTTCTTTCAGCAAGTCAGTAAAATATATGAATCAATGTATTACAACAATTGTGTAATCAGAGAAAGTTTTTGTATCTATTATATTTGATATTTTTATATATTTGTATGCCACCTTAGGTAGAACCATGGTCCAGCTTTGACTGTCACTGGCATACCAACACTGATATGCTAATTGCCAATTACTCATTTTCTTAATGCCAAGTGCTTATTGCTGTTAAACATGTTTAAATTCACAATTTTTCTTTACTATACCTTCAGTACACTTGTACCTGAGCCCCCTACTTGCAGGACAATTATAAATTTTATTGATTTTGTAAGCTTTTCAACAGGGCGTTTGTCTAGTCCAGTCCGGTCCCAAGATGGTTAAGAATATATTATATTTGGGTGGTCAGGTGGCACAATGGATAGCGCACTCACCTTTCACTATGACGACCAGGGTTCGATTCCCTGATTGGATGTGAAATAAAGGCACGGGGTCACCTGCCTGCTTTTTTAATTATCTTACATAGGTCATATTAAATATGCAATGATCTCAATAAGAAACATCAGATACTGCTCAGTGGTTTTTCACCGGGTACTCCGGTTTTCTCCGGTTTTCTCCACCACCAAACATTGCCCATCCATTCATGACCATAGCTGTTAATACGATGTACAATTTGGACACAAAGATTCCAAATGTAGATATTTCAATTAAATAACACCAATTCTTGTACAAATGAATTATCCAAACTTTTTAAAATGGTAAAATACTCCCAGGTGTGTGATATATATCATATCAATGTAACAAAGGTTTGGAAATTATTATTGGGAAAACTGAGATTTTATTTTTCTCTACTACTTTATGGAGTTTTTGTAATTTTTTCTCCAGTTTTTTTAATTATCTTACATAGGTCATATTAAATATGCAATGATCTCAATAAGAAACATCAGATACTGCTCAGTGGTTTTTCACCGGGTACTCCGGTTTTCTCCACCACCAAACATTGTCCATCCATAAATGACAATAGCTGTTAATAGGATGTAAACACTAACCAAGGTAGATAAATGTAACAGACCAAGTTAAAGGTCTACACAGGTTAATGCAATTTATAAGTTTCATTGCAGACAGATTTNTCCGGTTTTCTCCGGTTTTCTCCACCACCAAACATTGCCCATCCATAAATGACTATAGCTGTTAATAGGATGTAAAACACTAACAAATTAAAGGTAGATAAATGTAACAGACCAAGTTAAAGGTCTGGTTTACACAGGTTAATGCAATTTACAAGTTTCCATGCAGACAGATTTGGGATTTGTGAACCGTTTTGAGATGACTGACAAACTAGGTTGTGATAAAGCGGTATATACCAACCTCAAATTATTATTATTATTTTTTATTATTATTACAGATTCTCAATAATATACAGTATTGACTAGGGTGGTCGGGTGGCGCAGTGGATAGCCCACTCCCCATTCACCAAGGTTGAAAGATATATGGGGTGACTCCGATTTCCTCCCACATTAAAACCCCCTGTGTGCTACCATCAAAAGTGGTTAATATAAGTAAATACAATTTTCTTGTATAATTGTTTTTAAATGAAATCAAGTTTATCAATACTTTACCAAGGTGACTGTTTATTCAAAGATATTCAATACCTAAACAAGGACAAAAGAAAAATTGGGATTTTTTTTAAAGCATTTTTATTCCATATCATTGCTGAAATGTTTTCTAAGATATTGTACATGCAAATTTTATCTAAAGAATTTTCAAATCCATCACTCCCTGTTTTTGCTTTAGAAACACCTTACATGTACATGCAAAAAGCTTAGTGACTCCCTCAGCAACAATATTTGATTTTATGAACATCAGTTTGTATACAGATTATTTTGAATACATTGTTACAGTATATAGTATTGTGTAGTTCAGCATGTCACTGATACTTCCAACAAAGAATGAAATATTTGCTTTAATTTATATAACTGAACTTCATGAAAAAGAATTGTTCATTTATGTTTGTGTTTTTGTAAACTTCAATGTTAATTAATGTTCAGAAATCTGTTTCAATACATTTTATTGATTGATCAAATGGATTGAACAACAGGCATAGCCTATATAATTAAGATTTCTCCTGAATAAAAATATATATGAACAGTTTACAACTAATTATTTAAAGTCTTGTGTTATTAGCCACTTAATAAATCTGAGAAACCTTATTTCTTTGTCTTTGTTGTGATATAGAACTTTTATCAGCAAGGAAGCAACTGTAAACATACTTTAGATAGAAATAATAATAATTTATGTAATATAAAATTTGAATTATATTATAATTTTGAACCTGGCAGATATGAGTTGGAGAGGGTTCAAATATAACGGTATGTGCTTTTACATAATGTACATAAAGTAATTAATTACTTCCTAAATAAGTATGTTTACAGTTTCTATCTGAAATCAAAGAGGATCTGCAGAATATAGTTCATTGGTAGAACTCAAAAGAAAACAACATAGTAAGCAAAGGGAGGTAATCTTCATTTTACTATTTACCTTTAACCCTTTCACCACTATAGTCCATAATAGTCACATCTAGATAAATGCATGGTAGAGTCTACTCAGTTAATATAGGGGTGAACGGGTTAACCCTTCTCTTTAATTCTACCATTGAGTATGGCAACACACCCTCAACAAAGGGAAGTAACTTTGCACCGCTGACTGAAAATCAAGATCATAGCGATCTAGTATGGTGGAAATAGCAGATATGAAGTAATAATATGCAAGATTCATTAACCAATAATAATACCATTTCTTGTTTACAATATTTATTTTCAAAAACAAACAATTAGTGGTGAAATATGCCTGTACAGTGAAACCTGCCTTATTTGACACCCTGAANTCTGAAATCAAAGAGGATCTGCAGAATATAGTTCATTGGTAGAACTCAAAAGAAAACAACATAGTAAGCAAAGGGAGGTAATCTTCATTTTACTATTTACCTTTAACCCTTTCACCACTATAGACCATAATAGACACATCCAGATAATTGCATGGTAGAGTCTACTCAAGTTAATATAGGGGTGAAAGGGTTAACCTTTCTCTTTAATTCTACCAATGAGTATGGCAATACACCCTCAACAAAGGGAAGTAACTCTGCAGCGCTGACTGAAAATCAAGATCATAGCAATCTAGTATGGTGCCAGGTGGAAATATCAGATATGAAGTAATAATATGCAAGATTTATTAACCAATAATATACCATTACTTGTTCACAATATTAATTTTCAAAAACAAACAATTAGTGGTGAAATATGCCTGTACAGTGAAACCTGCCTTATTTGACACTCTGAGGAAACCAACAAATTGGTTGAATTACACAATGTGTCTTTATAAACAGGTTTTATTTGGTATTTGTGAATGCTGGAACAAACAGATTAGGATCCAGAGTGCAAGGTTCTTAGCCCAAGATGCAGTTATGGCAAAGTTGGTCTAGGTCATACAGTCTGTTCAAAACAAATTTACATGTCATTTAAACTTTTAGAATTTAAATCCTAAATCACCAATTGAAATTTTGAGTTATGATATCAACTTGTTATAAAACTTTTTTTATAATTCATATTGGAATCTTTGTATCTTTGGTGCAAGTTTAGCAAGTGTAGGATTAAACTTTTTGAGATGCAACACAAAACAGAGAGCTAAACACAATTTAAACATTGATGAGGAAACTCACGGCAGAGTTGGTGTAAGTTTATATGCTGAGGACTTTTTGAGATACAACACATAACACACAGCTAAACATTTAACATTGACGAGGATGTTTTAACAGCTGCTGGACCAGGAAATGTAGGTCACATTTAGTATCTGACCAGGAAATGTAGGTCACATTTAGTATCTGACCAGGAAATGTAGGTCACATTTAGTATCTGACCAGGAAATGTAGGTCTCATTTAGTATCTGACCAGGAAATGTAGGTCTCATTTAGTATCTGACCAGTAAATGTAGGTCACATTTAGTATCCAACCAGTAAATGTAGGTCACATTTAGTATCTGACCAGGAAATGTAGGTCACATTTAGTATCATACCAGGAAATGTAGGTCACATTCAGTATCTGACCAGGAAATGTAGGTCACATTTAGTATCTACCAGGAAATGTAGGTCACATTCAGTATCTGACCAGGAAATGTAGGTCACATTTAGTATCTGACCAGGAAATGAAGGTCACATTCAGTATCTGCTACATGAATTGCAATGAAGAAGTCGAGATTTTTATCAATTTTGTAACATTTGTAAAAAAAAAAAAAGGGCTAAATGCAAACATTTGATAGTTCTGCTGCTGCCACAGGGAAAGTGATGCTTTGGTATGTCCTGCCTGTGTGACGTCCATCGCAGACGAGACGAAAATGGAAAAACAGCTGTCGGAATCAGATATGAGCAGATGAAGGATTTTTTTTACCACTGGTTCAGATTAGACGGGTTACACTGTATAAAATGTTGTCATATTATTTTAATTTGATTAGATTCCTTGCGACAATAAACAAAAAATAAACCCAGTGAGTATTCCATAAAAATCATAAAATGTTGCAATGCATTTTTCAGAATCACATTTGTTCCAAATTTGAATACATGAAAATAGAAATAAAAAAAAAATCTTTACATTGCAAAGCCAACACTTTACCAGCGTTGCTATCCAGAATTATAAATGTGCAACATGAAAATGAGTGTCAAATTTTGGGGCTGCAAACCTATGAAAATATTGACAGAGGAAGTTACTCTAAACCAGCAAAACTCATTTTGGTTGCTTTATCTTCTGTAAAGAAGGGAGACTACTCAAAAGAAAAAAAATCAGAGTGGAGCTCTTCTTTGTGATAACAACTCAGATGCAGTGGTACCCTTTAACTTAAAGCATAAAAATGTTTTTCAGCAACAATACCTACCCTTATATTAGTTGTCTTGGCTACAGTGATGTTAAAGAAAGGAAATATCAAAATCAGAATATTTGCTTCATTGATCTTGTGTATTAAAAGAGATTGTTTGTAATTGTTTGACTGAAAAGGAAAAAGAAGAATCATCAATTCTGAATTATAAGTTATAAACATTACATATGACAAAAGACAGAAAAAGAGAGAGAGAATACAGATGAGGAAAATAAAGGAATGGGATGAACAAACAAGCAGTATATCATGTGGGATTACTGACAGAAAATGGCTTGGGATTAGGGGCAAGTTAAACAGATTTTACCTATTATATAATATATAAACTTTATTTATTTTACAACAATTATGAAACAAGTCATTTCAACTTATATTAATCACTCTTGTTGGCCCGGATGTTAGCGCACGGGGGTCTTGTTGTGGGAGGAAACCGTAGTACCCGGAGAAAACCCACGGAATCGGGCAGGTGACCCCATACCTTTTCACGTCCGATCGAGGAATCGAACCCCATATTCCCCAATNTTTGGGGCTGCAAACCTATGAAAATATTGACAGAGGAAGTTACTCTTTAACCAGCAAAACTCCTTTTGGTTGTTTTATCTTCTGTAAAGAAGGGAGACTACTCAAAAGAAGAAAAAAATCAGTGGAACTCTTCTTCGTGATTACAACTCGGATGTAGTACCCTTTAACTTAAAGCATAAACATGTTTTTCAGCAACAATACCTACCCTTATATTAGTTGTCTTGGCTACTGTGATGTTAAAGAAAGGAAATATTAAAATTAGAATATTTGCTTCATTGGTCTTGTGGATTAAAATATATTGTTTTTAATTGTTTAAAAAGGGAAAAGAAGAATCATCAATTATGAGTTATAAGTTATAAACATTACATATGACAATAGACAGAAAAAGAGAAAGAGAAAGACAGATGAGGAAAATAAAGGAATAGGACTGAACAGACAGACAGTATATCATGTGGGATTACTGTCAGAAAAGTGCTTGGGATTAGGGGCAATTTAAACAGATTTTACCTATTTTTCCTTATATTTTTGAAAGCATGACTCACCTTTATCTTATGCAATATACTTTGAACCACATAGTTGATTGAGTCTGTGAGGAGGTCGTTCAGGTCATTAATGGAGTTACAGAATGGCAGACAAGTCTAACAGCCATCAGGGAGAATGGTCATCTGGTCTGGTAAATCGTACAAAACAAATAATACAACTTTGGCCTCAATATATTTAGGAGTAGAACTATTAGTTTCATCCTCGATAAGTCTCGTTTCATTTGACGTCACATTTTGCTGCAACA